CTTAAGAAACAAAAGTAACATGGTGCCGAATCGATAATACTTATGCCAGAATGCTTAAATCTACATTTTTACTATTTTTAACAAAAAGGATGGATTTAACCCCTTTAAATGCAAAAAGCGCAAGTTGAGCATATATGTCATAGTTGATTTTACCTTCGTTCACTCTACTTACTTACTTTATCGTGTCTGGACATGTCATTCATAAAATTTCGGCCCAGTATCGGGCTACGTCGGTTCCATCTTTGTTGGCGAGCCACAAATCTTCAAGGGTACATCGATGATTACAGTTTCTGCATGTAAGAAGATGTTTCATATTCTGTGTTTCTCCACAGTCACAATTCACATCATCTTGGTCTATTTTTCCCCATTTTGCCATGTTTGATTTTACTGTAGCAACCCCGCTCTTATCCTATTCAAAGTTTTCCACGTTTTAAAGTCTAGGATCTGGCCGATTCATTGAACCTGGGGAAGTGGAAAATACTCAGGCGGTTCATCCTGCAGTGTTCCAAGAAAGATTTTCCTAGATTTTAGTCGCTTTCATGGTGTTCGAGTTTTGTATAGGGCATGCCGCTCGTCCGCGATGTGTTTAATTTTCTCTATGTGTTCTGCAGCGCCTCTGCGTGTTGAGGGTTCTGCAAAACCCGCTGCTCTATATAGATTTGAAATCTATTCACTCTACTATATGAATCATGCTAAAATTAGCTGATTATGTTGTTAATCAGTATGCAAAATATGAAAAACCAAATAGTTTTTTACAATGCTTATTAAGGAAAATATGAAAATATATACTACAACTTAACATTATATACCTAAAATATTTGAAAAAGTTTAATGTAATATGCTAAAAGGTACTAACTTAACATAATTTGGTCGGCACTAGGAGTTTATTGGAAATTTATAGGTACTCCATTTGTGATACACAGCTGGAATCTATTCCAAGAATGATTTTACATCTTTTAGTTTTTCTGTATGAATATTAAGGAAATGATTATATTTTTAAGTAAGTATAGGAAATTTTTCTACTGCAGCTGTTGGTCTTGTTTTTTTAAAGGACATGGAATATAGTATATTTTTGAGAACTTCTGAAGATGAGCATAATTTCACTACTTTGTAAAATACCTACTTCTTCTTCTAGTTCCATGACCGTTATTGATCGTTGGATATCATGTTGGCTACCATATTCGCTATCGTGACTTTATTGACAGCAGCTCTAAATAACGATGTAGTTGATTTTCCATACCATTGCCTTAGATTTTTCAGCCATGATGTTCTTCTTCTACCAGGACCACGATTACCTTGGATCTTTCCCTGAATGATCAGATGTAAAAGATCATATTTTTCAGGGTGTCTCATAATATGACCGAAGTATTCCAGCTTGCGTTTCTTTATTATATTGACCAGTTGTGTTGTTTGGTTCAGCCGTCTAAGGACCTCCTCATTTCTAACTCTGTCGACCCAGCTTATTTTCAGTAGTCGTCTGTATACCCACATCTCAAAGGCTGTCAAGCGTTTAAGCATAGCCTCAGTTAGGGTCCACGCTTCTACTCCATACAGCAGGACAGGAAAGATGTAGCAAGATATCATACGAACTCTAAGGTCAATGCTAAGATCATGACTGCAAAGTACGTTTCTCACTTTTACAAAGGCAGCTCGGGCTTGTTCTATTCGGCTTTTAATTTCTGCGGTTGGATCCCAGCTCTCATTGATATTACTGCCGAGATACACGAGTTTCTCTACTCTGTCCAGTGTGGCATCTCCGATTTTTATACCGTCATCATGTATATAATTTTGTTTGCTAACTATCATATATTTAGTTTTCTTAACGTTGAGTTTTAGTCCATACTGATCACAAGTCTGTTTTATTTTGTTCATTAGATTTTGAAGGTCTTCTCCGCAATTGGCAAGGACTAAGGTATCGTCGGCATATCTAATATTGTTGACGGTTACTCCATTCACAATAATACCTTCGGTTGTCTCCATTAAGGCTTCCTTAAATATTTCCTCCGAATATAAGTTAAAAAGTAAAGGCGACAATATACAGCCTTGTCTCACTCCTCTTTTTATATTTATTTCATCCGACAGTTCTTGTTCAACCTTTATTCTTGCCACTTGATGCCAGTATAGATTTGTAATTATTCGTAGATCTTTATCGTCCAATCCAGCTGTTTCCAATATTTCTAGCATTTTGTTATGTCGGACTTTGTCAAAAGCTTTTTCAAAATCGATTGCACAAATATACACATTTTGATTTATATCTCTGCATCTCTGTACTAGCACCTGTATACTAAACAAGGCTTCTCTTGTACCCAAGCCACTCCTAAACCCAAATTGAGTATTGCTAATTCTGTCCTCTAACAGCGTATAAATTCTGCTGTGTATTACTCGCAGAAAGATTTTCAAAACGTGACTCATCAGACTTATTGTCCGATAATCACCGCATGTCTTTGGATGATGTTTCTTAGGTATTGTGACAAATGTCGACTTTAACCAATCAGTTGGTAATATCCCAGAGTCATAAATTCTGTTAAAGAGATTACACAGAGCTTTAATTCCATTTTCTCCCAAAAACTTTAGTATTTCAGCACTTACTTCTGGTCGAAAATACCTACTGGTCGATTAAAATAGGTTTTCTGTACTAAACATCGTATATATCCTCTTGCTGGACCCTAATTATTAGAAAAGGTTTATTTTTCTGACATTCTTTAAAATATCTTCAGAGTGACTGGGCGAATAGACTATTTCACAGTTTTTCTTGACATAATTTTTTACAACAAAGTCTCTGTCGCTTGGCAACATTGTATGTCCTACCTAAGGAAATATATGAACTAATTCTTTAAAATAGTCATTTTGTAAAAGATAAAGCCAAAGACCAATGATGGTTTAGTTTTATTTGGTCCGCAGCAATTGTCTGAAATAGCTATAAGTTTTCTGCCACAAATAATATATTTCTCAAAGTACATTTTGAGATAGTTAGCTATTTCGTCTGACCCTCTTTTAGCAGTGGCTTCATCCCACATAAAAAAGTGACCATGACCATCTCCAAGGAAATATATGCTTAAATTATAGCAATACAGTTTTCTCTTATACAACATGGGACCAGTGGTAAGCTCTGATGTGGAAAGAGTTTAATATAAATCAAAACTTATTGTATGCACATCTGCGTGTGCTTCATCTACTACGTCATTGACTGCCTGTTGACCTGCTTCAGTTTTATTTTATGAAATTAATCAAATTTTATGAAATTAATCTGGTGGCATCTATTATTCTGAGGATGAAATAAGTCAAATTTTCTGTGTTGCCATGTCCCTTGCCATCTTTTACATAATATATCGGGAAAAATCAAAATTTGTCCATTACCATTGTTTACAACCGATCCCCTCATATGTACACATGGCAGAGAACTGCCTGTGTCCATATGTGGTACTCGTGGCAGTTAAAGTGTTAAATACTATTAAAAAAATTCATGTATATTACTAACACAATAGATGATTTATGCACGCAGTACATCATTAAGCTTCTTAAATCAAATTACACAGTGTTACACTAGACATCTCACAAGCGTTTGACAAAGTTTGGCACAGAGGTCTGCTTTACAAAGTAAAAATAGCACTATCCAGTAACTATTTCCTCCTACTTAAATCCTACATATCAAATAGATATTTCTCTGTAAAATTCAAAGACCAACAATCCAACCCCTGTCCTTTCAACTCCGGAGTCCCGCAGGGTAGTGTTCTAGGGCCGCTGCTTTTCTCACTCTACACAGCCGATATACCAGAGACCAATAATACTACAATCGCTTCTTTTGCTGACGACGTAGCAATACTAGCCGTAAATGAAGATCCCATACAAGCCTCACAAAACCTGCAACATCATCTGAACATACTCAGTGATTGGTATACAAAATGGAGAACAAAAGTAAATAAAACAAAATCAACTCAAATAACATTTACCAACCGTCACAATATATGCCCACCTGTAAGGATGGAAAATATAAGAATACCAACAGTAACAGACGCTAAATACCTTGGCCTCCATCTTGACCAACGACTCACTTGGAAGAAACATATCCAGACCAAAAGAAGGCAGCTCGACTTAAAATTCCGACAAATGTATTGGCTTCTTGGACGTAAATCAAAACTTAACATCCAAAACAAAATTCTTCTATACAAAGCCATACTCAAACCTATCTGGTTCTACGGACTACACCTATGGGGCTGTGCAAAACCAACGTCGCTGAATATTATCCAAAGATTCCAGTCAAAAGTACTAAGATCGATAGTGGATGCGCCATGGTACGTAAGTAACCAAACACTCCATAATGACTTAAAGGTTCCTTTCATCAGAGAAGAAATTCATCGAGCCACAGAGTCACAAAATGAACGTACCATTCACCACGAAAATGAGCTAGTAAGGGAACTATACAACAATGGACCAGCCACAAGAAGATTACATAAAACCTGGCCTCAAGACCTTCTTCAGAACTAAACCAAAGTAGAATAAGGTGAGACATCATTGGATGTCTCCCCTTCACGCGCAAAACCTGTATCACATTTACTTAATACTCTTTTTTTGAAGTAGATTGTAAATAAACATAATTATAAAAAAAAAAAAAAAGTGTTACACTAGCTTAGGAATATTTCTAATGGATCTGTTGTATCTTTATTGCTTGGAGTTCCAACGCTGTAAATTTTTTTACACTGATACATCCGCATAAAAGATATATTAACCTTTTTAAGCGTAATTTAAAAACAATAATTTTGTTTGCGATAACATATACTTATTTTTAGTTGTTTGTTCAAAGATTTAGTAGTTTGCTTAAAGATTATATGCAAATATATAAAAATAACTTGAATTTCGTGAAAATATGATTTTTATGATTACTTAAATCGTATTTGTACTATTACTAAAGCCGTCTAGCAGTTGCATTTGTATCAAGATCTTAAGAAAATATAATACCATAACAATTCATAGCCAGTAATAAGTAAAAGACTTGGGAACAAATGATGTTTGTTCTTGTAATAAGTCTTTTTTCTGTTACTCTGACAATACTGGCTTTCCCTAATGATGGAACCTTAGTTCATACTGAAAGAGGGATAATTCGGGGGCATATTCTCAAAAGTGAAAAGGGAAACGACTATTACGCTTTCCAGGAAATCCCGTATGCTGCTCCCCCAATTGGAGAAAATAGATTTCAAGTGAGTACCTACATTAGTTTGGGATAAAATTTATTAATGTTTAAACATTTAATTAAGTTACTTTACTATTTTGGGAGTAGTTTTTGCAAAGTAGATTTGTTGTCTCTTTAAATAAATAGGTAAATAAATTGATAAAAAAAAATAAAATAAAAAAAATATTGATTACATGACAATCTTTCAAAGGCTTTTTCATCTATTTTCTTAGCTGGTTTTAACCCACATGTTTAGTAATTTGACAGTCAAGAATTTTGCCTTAGGTTTGTGTCATTAAAGTGTTCATAGTTTTCAAGGTTTCACTGATTATGGACCAACTGGAACTGGAAAAACATATTATATTAATATAAGGATAACTAAAAAAATGCACAAATACATTTTTTCATTTTTCAATAAAAAATAATCTTTATTGGGTATTGCTTTGGCCAACAAAAAAGCTTGCCAAAATAACAATAAAAATCCATAGACCAAGTTTCAAAACCAAATTCAAATTTTTGCATTAATTTGTGCCTTCTAAGAATTGCAAGGCAAAACAGACGTTGATAAAGATATTATTAGAGACATGGAGAATCTAAAAAATTTGCATTCTACGTCATATCTCCTCAACTAAGCAAAAATCATTAGCAAATTAGTTTTTTGTACTCATTCAGGGTAATCGGAATAAAAAGGAAAAGACAGTTAAGATTTAAGACTGTCTTTTCCTTTTTAAAAACTAGTTAATTTTTCATCAAAACTGCAAGAAAAATATTGATGTTTGATTTTTTTTTAAATGTTAGTTACTTTAATGCTTTTAATAACATAGTTTAGTGTAAGTAAGAAATATTGTAGAAACTCTTTAAGAGCGGAACCCTTTGATCTAATATCTGATTACACTGACCCGACTGGTTCGCACAGACTTGAATTGGTCGGTGCGAAATATTTTAGTTTAGTTTAGTTGGGAAGCAGACTAGACTAGAGTGTAGGTGTGTTTGATGGAATTTAATTATTTTGAATAGTGATGTGGCGTCCCTGGGAGAATGTGGTTGAAAACATTGCTTTTAAAAATAATGATCATGTACAAAGTAACAGTGCCGGTGTGAATATAAATCCTGACAAAAAGGTACCTGTAAACAAGATTCGAATACATTTAAATGCTGAAACACAGCAAGTATGTTTGAATGTGTACAAAAATCTACATAAGAAATTCGGCTTCGATGAAAAACTGTTGGCACAAGCAACTTCCGATTTAACAGAAATTCCACTTTCAAGTATATACAAAATAGTTAAAAATGAACCCTATCATCGCAAAAAGCGATGTGACTACAAATGTTCAAGACCTATAGATGCTTCACTTATAAAACTATTGAAGACCACAATATACGATTGCTACAAAAGCAATGAAATACCTACAATAGAAATAATACGAAAGAAATTGAAAACAACCGGTTGGAATATGAAATGGTGTGATAAAACTCTTCAAAATTGGATAAAGAAAATGGGATTTAAATTTAAAACAATAAATAAACGTCAAGCAGTTATGGAAAGTCAAAGAATAGTCAACAGACGTAATATATATCTAGAACAAATTACAAAATATAGGCAAGAAAGTAGGCGAATTTACTATTTAGATGAAACTTGGTATGATACCCACGATACAGTTAAGAAAGGATGGACAGATGGTTCAAACATGTGCATATCAGAAATGCCTGCAAATAAAGGGTCGCGGCTAATTATTGTACATTGCGGAGGAAGTGAAGGTTGGGTTCCGAATGCTTTAAAATTATGTGGGAAGAAAATAGAAGATTGTAACGTTGACTACCACAAGAATATGGAAGCTGATATTTTTGAAGATTGGTTTGAAAACTCACTGATCCCAAACTTGGAGCCAAACAGTGTAATAGTGCTTGACAACGCTTCGTATCATTCCCGACAGCTCACTAAGATACCAAATTCATCTTCAAACAAAGCTGAACTGCAAAATTTTTTAATGGAAAATGATTTGTATTTCGAAGATTTTTATACAAAAAAACAACTCATTGAAGTTCTACACATAAAGAAATTTGAAAAATTATACGCCCTAGAGAATATTGCCGAAGGTAATTGAGATAATTAAAAAAGAAGTATCTAATATTACCAAAGAAGACTGGCAGAAAAGAATCGCCAAAGTAATCAAAGTTGAAGAATATTATAAGAAGATTGGCCACTTCCACATTAATGGTGGAAATAAATTTATTATTGATTTGAATGATGATAGTGACGTAGAAAATTCGAAAGAAGGAGAAAATGAATTAAGTGTATAAGTAATCTATGTGACTCAGACAAATTGTTGCCTCCATATTTCTATCGCCCATCGAAAAAAGTGACGTTATAAATTCGAGTAGCCGCTGTCCAGGGACGTATCGAGATATTGGTTGTTTTACTGATACAAATTTATTGATGTAAGTATTAAATCATAAAATTATAATGTGTAATATGTATAGTCAAAGAGCAGGGAAATCTGATTTTGAAAATAAAACAAAAGGTTATATTTCATTGTTTTTTAAATGGTTAAAAGTGTAATGTCAAAAAATTATATATCTGTCACCTTGTCGGAAAAACAACAAACAAAAAAAACATGATTGCTAGCGGCAGCTTTAATAATGAAAAGAATCTCGTTTTAAACTGACTTGAACTTGAACTGTTTACTTACGTTAATTTTAGATTTAACTTGTGTGTTAAAGTCTTAACATATTATCCTTAATAATTCTTTATTCTTTTCATTACAATCAATAAAGAAGAATACTTCTCGTTATCTTGTTAGCTCCAAACCTCCTCATCGGCAATATAAAAACCAGTATTTAACGACCACAAAACGTTTAATTCCATTTTTCAGTTGAGCTACCTGTTCAAAAGATTGTTTTGCTAACCCAGATAAGTATCATATTTCTTCGATAATTTATTATAAAAACAACACGTTTAATGTGTCTACAAAGGGAGACCAGTAAGGTGTATTTAGTTTCGGAACTTGTAAATAGGCAATAAATCTTCAGTTTATTGCTTTTTATGTATTTTTTGCTTGCAAATATATCGAAAAAACTAGCTTAAACGCCACTATATAGCACGAAGAAAAGTTCGTTTTCGACGTTAAAAATCGTTGGTACGTTGCAGAAAGGTCGTTATGACGGTTAAAATCGTCACAAGCTGGGATATTTTCTTCTATAAATAGTGGACTAGAGTAACATTTCGACAGAACAGTTTCGATTCAAGTAACGAACAAATATCACGACCCTATAACCATACCCATCGCATTTCGTAATCGCCAGTCAAATTCACGCGAAATAATTAAGCGTCTCTTCGTGAAACAGCAGAACAAAAAGTAAACTTAAGATAAATACGTAGTATTTTTGTAACAAGTGCAATAAGAAAATGAAGTGATTTTAATTTACACGACCATTTTCATTACCAGTTCAACTTATAACTTGCTTTCGACGAAGAATTGTTTAATCCAAGTCCACAAACTTGACCAGTTCCAACGTCGTCTGGCTCTCTATTTATGTTGTAGAGAAGGGACAATTCACAACATTCTGTTTTTATAAAGTTCTTTTAGTAACAATAAAGATAAAAATAGCAACAGTAATTACAAAAGCTATTCTACATCACTCAATGCAAGCATGCTGTAAGAGGGATGGTCACTGTAATGTCTCAGCCGCTGCGCTATATATTAAAGCAGAACTATCAAAATATCCAAATCGTTCATTTGAAGTATTCTATTATATATATTACCGCTACTATACATAGTAATAGTAGTATAATTAAACACCCCAAAGTACAAATATCGTTAACCAAAAAAAAAAGAACAAAACTATAGAGCAACAAGATTTACTGTGTTTACAAATGGTAACATAACAAAAGTTCTCCAACTTTCATCACCATGATCATAAGCGGCTCGACAATCCGTTTTGGATCTCGGCCTGCTCAAAAAAAAGTCGCCACTCCTGTCGATTCCTGGCAACTTCCCTCCATCTTCTAACCCTTACAATCTGTAGTCGTCCTCTACTTGTAATCATCACCAATACATCATCAATCCATCTCATTCGTGGTCGTCCTCTACTTCTTGTGACTTCTGGTTTTAAAAATGTTAATCTCTTCGTGTATTCGTGATCTGACATCCTAGCAATGTGTCCAGCCCATCTAAGTCTCTGCACTTTAACGAATTTCACAACATCTGAATCGGTGTATAACTGATACAGTTCAAAGTTGTACCTTCGATGCCATAGCCCATTTTAATTTATGGCCTCAAAAATATTTCTAAGAAAGTTTCTCTCAAAGATACCAAGAAGTCTTTCATCATGTTGAGATAAGGTCCACGTTTCAGCAACATATATCAAAACTGGTCTTATTCAGGTCTTATATATTTTAAGCTTTACTGCACGTCTTATATTTTTATTTTTTTAATGTTTCTGAAGACTGAAGTTTCTGTTTGCTATTGCTATGCGTCTTTTTATTTCGTCGCTTGTCGTGTTTGTTGCTTTTACTAGCGATCCAAGATATGTAAATTTTTGACTTGCTTAGAGCCATGGTTGTTAATTTAAATTATCTGTTGGATATTTCGGGGGATGTTAGAAACCAACATATATATTTGATTTTTTCCTCGTTTACTATTTAACATCGCAAGTCCTAATTTACTTGCTGCTTCCGCAGGCCTTGCAAATATTGCACCATGTCTCACATACTTTTGCGTACTATAACTATATCGTCAGCGAATTCGAGAATTTGCGTCAATCTATTAAAAATACTTCCATTTATTCTAATATTTACTTGGCTGATTACTTTTTATAAGGCAATATGTGTCCCTCTGTCTTAGACCATTATTGATTTCAAAGAAGCTTACGTTTTGCATTGTTAGTTGGATCAACTTAACTAGCTTAGGTAGGATCCCAAAGTCTATCATTGCATTATATAGTGGAGTTCTTTTTACACTGCCATAGGCTGCTTTAAAGTTAATGAAGAGATGGTGTATATCTATGTTATATTCTAGTGACTTTTCTAGAATCTGCCCATGTGCTTAAATTTAATGTATAGTTGACTTTCCAGCAGTAAATCCGCATTGATATTGACCAATAATATTCTTTGTAAAATGTTTAAGTCTTTTAAATAATACATTGCAAAAGATTTTATACGCAGATGCTAACAGAGTAATGTCTCTATAGTTCTTACCCTAAAGTTGATCACCCTTTTTATGCAATTCCCTTCAGCCCCTCTTCTGGTACCCATTCATTCTACCATATAAGTACTATTAAGTTATGGATTGTTGCAAAAAATTGATCACCACGTTTTTTATACATTTCCGAACATGTTTCATCGATTCCTGGGGCTTTAATATCTTTTAGTTTTAGGATCGCATTTGACACTTCTTCTCTTGCTGGGTCTTCACTGTGTAGTTGACGTAATAGATTTTGTTGATTTTTTCTCCAATTTTAGCTATAGCATTTCCTAATGTTTCTTCCTTTAATCCTAGCTAAAATTAATTTCTTCCAATGTAATTTCAATATTCTTTATTTCTAAACCAAAGTTTATTTCCATACTTTTGATCAAATTTGTCAAATTTGATAAACCATATTGGGTTTTCACAGATTAGTCAAAATCAACATGTACTTATTACTTAACTTTTTGATTAAAATCATATGTTCGTATTTTTTAATATTTCTTATTTTTTCAACCTCCTGTAGAGTGCAGGAGATGAATATTTTGTTAAAAATAGCAACGTTTTCGAAACCGCAATTTTCGATCCACCCTAATGTATACTATATATAGACAAGTATACTAATTTATTGTTTTTAGCTTCCCAAACCTCCAAAAGCTTGGTGTGGAATCTTAAATACAACCAGAAATACCAAAATTTGCTACCAGACTTTTGTTAGGTACAGTAACTTAGAAATTAGCGAAGACTGTCTATATATAAACGTATACACTCCTCAAAAACCTGGATCTGCTCATCTTCTACCCGTGCTACTCTGGATACATGGGGGAGCTTTCCGAAACGAATCCAGTACTTATGAGTACTTCGGTCCGCAGTACATTATGGATCATGGTGTTGTTGCGGTTACTTTCAACTACAGATTGGGACCATTTGGTAAGTACTTAAAAATGTTTTATTTTTAAACTTTCTAATATCATTTCTAACTAGAAATTATCATCTTCAGTTTCTTGTTTTTATCGGGTGTCATATTAATATCATTTCGTTAACCACTACGTCTCTTTTGGTCTTAGTGTACACCTACATTGGAACCGTATTTCTCCCGATCCGACATCGGGCGACGTCGGCCGATATCGGATCGGGAGAAATACGGTTCCAATGTAGGTGTACACTAACTCTTCTATCCCTTAAGGACTGTGCAACTTGTTTTACCAGAATAAAAAAACCATCGTGTGCTTTGACAGAGCATGATATTAACAAAGAACATATCACGGATTTTGATAACATTAAAATTTTGTGTATTTCCGTGTGCAATAACTCAATTTTGTAATTAACAAATTGTTGATAAAAAATTTGGTCTGTATTTGAGAACAAAAAAAATTATTGTAATGTCAGTTAAATTAAAAAGACTTAAGGACAAACAAAACTTATTCAAGGAGACAAAACAGACATTTAACTTAAGAGGGGGTCTGTTGTGTGTGGCAGTAAATTACTCGTAAGCAGCAGGAAACGGCCAAAAGGAATAGTTGTTTGATGATTTTACTTTACTGTGTTACAATGTCTTCTTGTTCAAATATCTGATGAAATTTGAAGAAGGAATGACAAGAATGAATTTAAATTTAATGACCACTATGATGATAACTATTTTAAATATTTTATTACACCCTTTATGATTTATATTTACATTTGTAGGATGGGTGGGTACAGAGGACGGCGTGATTCCAGTTAATCTCGGTTTAAAAGACCAGCGATTTGCTATAGAATGGGTCCACAGAAATATTCATCTCTTCGGTGGAAATCCAAAGCATGTTGTGTTGGACGGTGAAAGTGCTGGATCGATAGCTATAGGGTATCACTTAATGGGACCATGGGAGGAAGGAAAACGTAAGTATTTATGATTTATTATTCAAATATAAACAACATACAATCTAGTACTTAACCTACATTCCTTTCCTCAGTTAGCTAAGCTGCGTGCGTGGATGTGTTATTTGTTGCTCTGGAATTTTTTTAACACTCAAAAAACGCAATGTAAAATTGTACAGTATTACTTCAGGATTATTTATAAATTCAAATATCTTCACCGAACAGTATCACAGCAATTTCTTTATATACAAATTTTGGTATATATACCTACTATATATACCTACACCTCGTGGAGGTGTAGGATATACTAGGAATAACAAGTTTTAATCATTTGAATATTGAAAATCTCTCTTCTGAACAGCATTATGAGATTACAGGTATTTTATTAAATAAATCTAATGTGCAGCTTATTACTGTATATTGTACTCCAGATGGTGATTTAGACAAATTCTTTACCATTATGGCAAAAGCTCTTAAAAAAATTAATGCTCATAAACCTGTTATAATAACGGGTGACTTTAATGTCCATTTCAATGAAACAGATATCAGAGCTTTAAAACTGTGTAATTTTTTTAGATCTTACAATACAAAAAAGTTAAATTTAATACTCGAGGTAATAGATGTCTTGATAATATTTTCGCAAATATTGATGGTATCACAAAACCTGTGGATCTCACTCACACATCTGACCACAGAGGTATTTCCTTTCAGATAGCTTACTTATCTACAAATTGTGCAACCAGAGTTTGTTATAGACCTATCACAGATGAAGGACTCTTTAATATGAACCAGATTTTGCTAAATTGCAACTTTAATTTTGTATACAATGATAATTTGGATATTAATTTAAAATTTAAAATGCTAATTGATGTGTTCTTAAATTCCATACATATCTCTTTTCCAGAAAAATCTAATTTGCTAAATAAAAATAATCTAGGTAAAAAAGTAAACTGGTTCAATGACACTTTGAGAAAAATGCGTGAGAGACTTCAATTTATTATAGCAATAAATAGAAACGATTCCATTGCTGCACCTAGAAGTACCATTATCAAACTTAGAAACGAGTACAGGGAAGCCATCAAGCTTGCAAAAATTAATGCAAATGATAGGTTTATAAAAAATTCTTGCAACTCTCAACAAGCTATGTGGAAACTTATTAATGGTAACAAACATAAAAATGTTTTCTTCACTGACAATTCTAAACTCAATGCAGATAGTTTTAATAGCCACTTCTGCTCAACTGCTGACAGAGTAAAAAATGAGCTTGAGGTTCCTCAGCTAACTCTTGACGACTATGTAAAGTATATACCACAAAAAATATTCCATATTTTAGTTTTCAGCCAGTGAACTTTAGTGAAGTTGACTTAGCTATTACAGAAATAAAAAATAGTAACAGCAAAGATCCTGATGGGTTTAACACGAAAATTATTAAAACAATTAAAGATATAATTGTACAACCTCTAACAACTTTATTAAATCAATCAATATTTTGTAATACTTATCCTCAAGTTTTCAAAACTGCAAAGGAAGTACCTCTGTTTACGAATAAAGGCTATATTGATGATTATAACAATTATCGACCCATTTCTTTGTTGCTTATCTTATCTATCTTAAAAATTTATGAACGAATTTAAAAAAATTAAATTAATCTACATTTTGAATATAATAAACTGTTTGCCATAAACCAGTACGGATTCCGAAAAAATAAAACAAGAACTTTAGCTATTGATAATTTCACTAGCAATGTTTTGGAAGGGTTTGAGAAATATTTTGATACTCTTGCATCGTTTTTGGATCTTACTAAGGCTTTCGATTGTGTCACACATAGTATTCTGCTTAGAAAACTTCCTTATTATAATTTTCATAGTGATGCTATTTAACTAATTGATTCATATCTATCAAATCGTGATCAATATGTTCACTTCAATCAGTGTGATTCTCAAAAACATTCTTTGTTGTTTGGTGTCCCTCAAGGCTCGGTTTTGGGTCCAGTATTATTTACTATTTATATTAATGATCTAGTGTTCTCTCAAAATGAAACAGTCAACACTGTTTTATTTGCTGATGACACTACTTTCTATGCAAGCTATCATCCTTCTGAATTCGACACCCTTGATTACCAAACATCCGAAAAAAACTTATTCAATTGGTTTTTAACTAATCGTCTCTCTTTGAACAACTCTAAATCACAAAGTGTTAATTTTACTCTAAGAAATAACACTTGTGTCGAAAACGTTGCTCTACCACAATGTGTAACCGGAGCGAAGTTTCTGGGGATATATATGGATGCAGGATTAACCTGGGAACAACATATAGTTAATCTATCGAAAAAGCTTTCCCGACAACTTTTTCTCTTCAGGAACCTTGTACAAGTGACTTACAGGGAAACTATTTTAACAGCTTATCATAGTAATTTTCATTCTCATCTGACATATGTTATTCTCTCCTGGGGTCACTCTTGTCATATCGATAAAGTGTTTGCACAACAAAGAAAGTGTGTTCGTATTATCTCTGCGCTCTCTTATAGAGCAGACTGTAGAAACTCCTTGAGAGTTTTAAAAAATTTAACTTTACCTGGTGTATACATTATACAGTGTCTGTTGCACATTAAACAAAATCTTAGCCAATACAATGCGCATGTAGATTTTCACAATTATCCCACCAGATTTAACAATAATCTTATACCAGAATTTAGCCGTCTTGAGAGATCCAGAAGTGGTTCAAGGTATTTTGCCATAAAATTCTACAACTTAGTGCCAGCTAGAATAAAAGCTCTTAATTTTCATCAGTTTAAGGCAAAAATTAAGAGTTACCTTATAGTGAATGCCTTTTTTACATATGAGGAGTATTTTACTTCCAATTTTAATTTGTTGTAATTGTTAACAGTATCATTTAAAACAATGTTTCTATGTTTTGTGTTTATATTTATGTGTGCATATTAACTATATTGACATTTACTTTATTTTATTTGACTTGTAAAATATACTTTTGTATTAATTTATTACCAATAAAACATCTATCTATCTATCTTTGGTTCTGTAATGATTATTATATCTTTTTCCAGAGCTCTTCCACGGAGCTATCATGCAAAGCGGAACACCAATTGCCGGACTATTACTACAAGATTTAGACATTACAACAGCAACTGCCTTGCAATTGGGTCGAAGAGTAGATCCATCGTTTGCGTCCAACGATACTAAGGAACTTCTTGAACTACTTCAGAACGCTGATGCCCATGATATTATTTACGTAAGTCCATAAAAGTTTTAAACATTAGATAAACTTAAGTTTATTTCATTATATTAAAAATTAATTAGGAATACGGTAACGGGTCGATACTCTTTTAAAGTCCGATCGAAGATAAGAATATCGATAAATATGGTCTTTATAAAATAAAATGTTTAAACGTTATCTTTTAGAAGACAAAAAATTTACTATTTTTTAAACAAGCTTTTAAACAAGAGAGAGAGAGAGAGAGAGAGAGAGAGAGAGAGAGAGAGAGAGAGAGAGAGAGAGAGGTTGTGAGCTTATACTTATATCTGGGATCATTAATCACAAACACAGGGTCATTACAAGAAGAGATTAAACGTAGATGTGATCTAGCAAAAGTTGCCACAGCAAAAATGACCAAAATATGGAAGGACTGTCAAATTTCAAAAGCAATAAAGATGAGGTTGATCAACTGCTTAATATTCCCAATACTGACCTACGGATGTGAATCTTGGACTCTGAGACAATCGGAGAGAAGAAAGATTGACGCCACTGAAATGTTCTGTTGGAGACGAATGTTACGAATTCCTTGGACCGACTGTAGAACAAATAATTCAATTTTAAGAGAGCTAAAAGTTATCCAACAACTCTCTAGTAAAGTCCATCTCCAACAATTAAAATATTTTGGGCATGTTATGAGAGCAAACACAGAAAACATGGAAAGACTCATAACACAAGGAAAGGTAGAAGGCCGAAGATCACGAGGAAGATCCCCAACAAGATGGATAGATCAAATTACAGGAATATGCCAAAGACCTATGCATGAATTAAAAGAAATGACCAGAGACAGAGATCTCTGGAGACGGACAATACACGATATCACGTCGACCACTACACTCCGCCTGGGGGGTCAGGATTGAAGAGAGAGAGAGAGAAACAAGCTGAAATAACGGTGTATTTTTACAAAAAAAACAGTAGAAAATTTTTACTTGAATGTCTCATGGGTCTTACAGGAAAGACAAATACAAGAAGCACGAAGGAATTACGCCAATAGAATTAACAAGTGTTGTTAAAATGCAAAAAATTAACTAAACAGGCAGATCACAACTACCTGAAAAATAATACACAACACAGAAATGTAAAGAACGCTCAAAACGAAGCTAAAACGGAGTTTAAGATGAACACATTAACAATCACCAGAAGGTTTGTTACTCAAATTGAAAATTGTTTAGATAAAAGATAATCCTTTGCTATCAGTAAGATAAAATAAATAAATAGAAATAAAAAGACACCGAATTTACCATATTAATAGACAAGAAAGATATGAAGGTCTATGACTGAACTTAAACATGAAACATCTTATAAATCAATATACAGTGTGTAAAAGCCAAATAGACTAAAAGCCAATTTTATTATTTAGGTTACTGTACATACTTATAAAAAATCCCGAAACACGTCAAATTTAAATTATAACTTGACATTCTATAAGGTGAAAATGCAACCCCTACCTTCAACCCCCTTAGAATGACAGGTACAACCCCTAATTTTTAAAATGGGAAGTATAGGCTTGTGATATATCGTTTGAAAGGTCTTTTCATTCTCCATTAAAAAATGTTGTCGTTTTTAAGTTTATTAAGATAAAATACATTAAAATCATGTGGTTACCGAAATTCGCAAAAAATTTACTCAAAACTTTTTTTCCGTTTAGGTCTTCTTCTTCTTCTTTTCTCGTTTTATGGCCTCCACCTCTTAGGTACGTGGCCAGCTCATGTATATAATTTTTACTTCAATTACAGAAGGGAATTCTCCTCAGAGATTCTGGAAATAACCATATTCCCTTCAACTATTTTGGACAATTTATAGTGGATATTCTAAAATAATTCTATATGTCATTAATAATATAGATTTTTCTTGTTCCATCTATTAAGCTATGTAAGGTATATCTGGAATTTGGCATCTTGGACAGGACATCAGTGGTTAAAGGATAGGTTAGGTTGGGTATTTATTTATATTTTACTTACATTTTAATTTGGAAAATATTGATAAACTTACCAATCGTTTTCAAGGTTTTAGCATTGATATTGTGGAAAATATTTTGTACTGAAATGGGCGTTGGGCATCCATCTTTAATAAGTTTTTGATGTAAATCAAATAGTGGTGTCTTATTGATAGGACACTCTAGCAAGATGTGTATTATACTTCCTATTTGACCACACTCACAAAAAGGGGAATCAATACAGTTAATTTTAAATAGATGATCTGGTGCCAAACAATGTCCTGTTCGTAACCTAATAATTGTTGTCAGGTGTCTACGGTCTACAAAGTCAAACTTATGAAACCATGACTTTATAGAGAATTCACTTTGACATTGTTGATACCACTTTCCCTTTTGTTTAAACTGTTTAAGCCAATCAAGTTTAAATTCATTTATTAATGTTTGAGTAAGAAATGAAAGATAGTCCATTTTATCAATTTTTATGTTAGCTGGGATGTTTAGGGTTCCTCCTATATTCGTCAATTGATCTGCCACAATATTCCCTTTTACTCCTGAGTGGCCTGGAATCCAGGCTATAATAATATCAAATCCTGCTTCATTTGCCTTTTGCATTTGCATTTGTTTGTTTGTTGCAATGGCAACAACTATTTGGCACTACTTCAAAATGATGCCATTCCAACGTTGGCAAATTTATCTCCTGATCCAGGAAACTCTTAAGTTCCAGCGAATACGATATGGTTTCAGCAGGATGGAGCACCACTACATTACCAACCCAATGTCCGGCAGTACCTCGATACAATATTTCCCAATCGGTGGACAGGGAGGCGAGGATCGATTGAATGGCCAGCGCGATCACCTCATCTTAAATTATTAGATTATTTTTTATGGGGATATGTGAAGAGCCATGTGTACAAAACTAAACCTTCTGATTTAAATGACTTAAAAGAACGAATTACGCTTGCGATTAGGTCGATCACGCCTGTTATGTTAAATAATGTTAGAAGACAGTTTTATTTAAGATTAGGATGTTGCCAAGACGTTCGCGGTGAACATTTTGAACATCTACTTCATTAACATTCATAGTTCTTTTTCGTGTTCTACATTTTATTACGTTTTGCATTACATTTTAGTTTTTGATTGTATTGTAGCGAATTTCGGTAACCACATGATTTTAATTTATTTTATCTTAATTAATCTTAATAAACTTGAAAGCGACAACATTTTTAAATTTTTTAAATGGAGAATGAAAAGACCTTTCAAACGATATATCACAAGCCTATACTTCCTATTTTAAAAATTGGTGGTTGTACCTGTCATTCTAAGGGGGTTTAAGGTAGTGGTTGTATTTTCACGTTAAAGAATGTCAAGTTAAAATTTATTTAAATTTGACGTGTTTCGGGATTCTTTATAGATATGTACAGTAACCTAAATAATGAATTTATTCCATTTGGCTTTTACACACTGTAGGTTGGAATCTTATGGGTACTACTATTTATAAAACACGGCCATAACCGTAACGAAAACTATAGAGTTATTAGTCCATTGAATGCAATCTATCATTTATACTCAAAAATATATTAGTGTTGTGTTTAAAAATATTACAGAAACCATTATAGAAGACAAACAATACAATTTTTAAAAAAGTCTACTAACGACTTTCCAATACCATAGAAGGGCTGCAAACCTTAATGAACAAAATAACGGAAACAAGTGGAACATAGGGACTAGATATAAACACCAGCAAAACCAAGCTAATGATCATCAGCAAGGAAAATATAACTGGAGCAGATCTGTATGTGAACCAAATGAGAATTGAACGTGTCTCGCAGTACAACTACTTGGAAACTATAATAAATGAGTCGTGGGACAATACCCAAGAGATTAAATGTCGCATCGGAAAGGCAAAGAGTGCAAAAATGCTATGAGCTCTGTGTTTAAGAGCCACAATCTCACCCCAGAAACAAAAATGATGCTCCTTAAATGTTACGGTACTCAGTGCTTCGGTCCGGAGTGAAATCGTGGGCCTTGAAGGCGAAAACGCTATCAAAATTTTAGGCTTTTGAGCTATGGTTATACAGAAGAATGCTGAAGATACCATGGACAGACAAAGTCACTAATCAGAAATTAGAAAGGTGGATATGAGCTACTTCAATGTATTTTGCAAGATAAAATTAAAGGAAAAAGGACCCGAAGAGCACGAAACAAAAAAAACAAAGAAAGGTGACAAAGAAGAATATTCTGGCTTCATAACTTGAGAACATGGCATAGAAAGGCCTCAACACAGCTATACCGTATAGCAACCAACAAAGTCAGGATAGCCATAATGATCGCCAACGTTCGGAATGGACAGGTATCCTAAGAAAACTCTGGTAGCGACAATATTTTTACTGTAAAATAAATTATCAAATAACAAAGAGAATATATTCCCAGAAAAGCTTATTAAAAATTAGGTTGGATACATATAATCTGTTATTATTTGAAAAAGTTGATACTTAATTCAGCTGATCAGACCAATTCAAAGGATGAACGAAACACAAATAGCAATTTTATTCATCATTAAAGAAATGGCACTTTAAGTGTATAGCGTGAAAAAATCTTTTCTTTATCTAAAATTACACATTTATAATAATTTGTAATATCATATATTATAGTCTGGTATATCTGGCGGCGTTACCATAGAAGAGTGCGGTCCATTTTCCTACCAAGCCTTTCAAGCGTTTTTGGACGAAAACTACAAAAAAGTTCCTGTTTTAATTGGAATTAATTCAGAAGAATGGGGCGCCCTAGGTAATTATAGGTTTTATTTATGTTTCAATATTTTTATCAGTCTTCAGTCATCGCAGTGGAACGAAATCTGTCATTAAAGACTAATATTATTTGTTCTCGACTTTACCAAATTTTACAGCCTTTTAAAGAAATAACAAATACAATGAGTGGCCAAAAGTACTTGAAGGGTAGTTCAGTGATTTGTATGGTACGCTGTTTGCAATACAATTTTAGCAAACGGTAACCTTACGTCCATAGTATCCGACTTAGTACAATTACTAATATTAGGTTTAGCAAAAAGATTTAGAGGGATAGAATAGAGTGGCACATTGTCATTATGTACATTTATGGATTGACGATTTTAAGTGCAGGGATTTTCTGATAAAAATGAAGCTAAGAAAACAAAAGAAAGAGTTAAGAAGCTAGTTACTTCTATAACTAAAGAACAAGAAGATGGTGCTATTGAAAATCAACCAGTACAAGAAAAAGAAACCGGTAAAGATGACTTAAATCTATGGTGTATTTTTGATCAATTAATTGGACATGACTCATCTAAACGTACACCTGTATCGAGAGTCCATTACAATGGTGAAAAAACCATCGCCATGTATATCCTAACTTAACCACTATATTCATAAAATATTGTAAATGTGAACACATGTTTAACATCTGGTTTATTTGAAATAAAAGAAGAACACGGTTAACAAGAAGTAAAGTAAAAAAACTTATGTTTTTAAATGTCGATTTAGACGATTCGCGATTTAATAATAACATGTAATGTAAATGTAAGTACGAATACTATTTGTATTGTTTAGTTTATTTTTCAAGTTATCATAAATATGTCCTTCATTAATTAGTTTCTTTCACTTCAATAAATATATACATAAACGATAATAGTCATTATGTGTGTTTATGTTTGTTTATGTAGGTACTCTCTTACTCGAAACTACTGTTAAACAATCATAGTACCTTGTTTGCGAAAATCGGTTTACGATAAAAACGTCAACGACCCACCTCTACTCGTTACCTCTGTCCACGAGAGACGAGACTCTGCCAAAGACGCCGATCTATTTGGTGTAAAAATGTAGTGGATTGGTTCCAATAATTCTGCCAGTAATTTCGTGCGAGTTTCTTTATACTAGTTTTTAGGTCACTGGCGATTTGTATATTACGTAGTGTATAATTGGATACAGCAGCTCCTTTGACAAAGCGATCGGCGTTGTCGTTACCCGCATTCCCGATGTGCGAGGGAACCAAAGAATATAAACAGAGTAATGTTTCATATTTCCTTGCCGTATTTTTGATCCTCCTCAATGAAATACAGTTTATTGTGTTTGCATGCCTCAAATACATATTTTTTTAGCTTTAGATACCAGTGAACAATATTTAGAAGAATTAGATAACAATCCTAGTGAACTGGTCTTTCCAAGGCTTAATGTATCTCCAGAAAACAGACCAATAGCTGGAGAATTGTTAAAAGAATTATATACACACAATACAACCTTTGCTGGAAATTTGGGGTATTTCATAAGGGTAAGTCATAGTTGAATACATAAATTTACTAATATATTCAAAAGTGATTTAAAAAAAAACCATTTATCAAAAATGCTATAAATAATGCAAAAAAATTGGTGTTTTTTATGTCACAAATATATTTTTTCAATACAATGTTTATTGTAATATAAGTGATAATACTAAATATTTTTTAAAGATTTTATCACGTGATTATCAGTACACTGTTTTTACACAGTAAAATGTTTTCAGTCTTTAGATAAGGAACTTTTTGTTTATAAAATTTATAATTTTCTAGAAACAACCTAGAAAAGTAGCTGGCATGCCATGGGCCAGTAACTGGCAAGCACAAAATACATTTGCTAGTAATTGGTAGATTTTTACACATGCCAGTGCTAGTAAACAATCGAGTGGTTTTTATCTGAAACTAATAATTGTTTTTAAAATTCCCACAAAAAAAAGAGATCCATGGAAGGTATTCGGAATGATTTTAACAGGTAAATATTGCTGATGACCACAGATATTGTTAGAAATTTAATAATGAATCCGAAGCGGAACTTAAAAAAGACAAAAATTTGGGTGAAAAGTTCGATTGGCAGTAAAGAAAATATTTGAGGAATTTTTTATTTTGGCCTTTATCTCCTTTATAGTAATACCTTCACACATTTTCTTTTAAATTTTTGTGTAGGCATTGTCACGAGCTATTTTATTTTTATATAGAGATAATTTAATAAAATGACTGATTTTTATCACCGACACAATAAATCTGATAATTTTCTGGTAGCTACTGGTATGCCCAAAGCGATAGCGCGTATTTACACATGCATGTGAGACTCCCCACGCATGCGCCTGACATCTCTCAGCATGCTACTAGCAAGAAAAATTAAATTCTTTGCGATTAGCTAGCATGCCAGTTAACGTACACACATGCTAATTTTTTGGGATTGTAGCTGGTACTTGCTAGTACTGGTATGCCATTGTGCTAGTAACCGGCATGTGTATCTCTGGCTTAAGGCCCATAATAATACAGACATGGTCTATCAATTTAAAGTAAGAGTATCGTGTAACAACTATTAGAAATTAGGAATTGAATACATTCGACATTTTGATGAATGTGGTGTGATAAACGAGGAAGTGCTGAGGAATGCTGAAACCGAGCGTGAATTGTTAAAACTATAAAACAATGAGAAGTTTTTAATACATATAATGAAAGAAGATAAATCAGACAATGAAGAATGATATTAATAAATAAATAATAAATAAATAATAGCTTTATTACCCAACAGTTTCCCATTTCTAGTGTAAAAATTTAAGATACATTTTTAATTAGTATACAATCATCAGTAGGTGATACAAAAATATCAAATAAAAAAAATAAGTGTAGAAACTAAGTAGGTGAAAAACAAAATAAAGAGTGAGAACAATATAATTAAACAAATCACTATGTAAATAAGAAAAAAAATACACACAAAAAAATTAACAATCTAAGTTACTCCATAAACCAGTGCGCTATCAATCAGATGATTAATTATTGAGCATGAAAAAATATCACAACGGTTGCATATTTTGTTATAATTATCGCACATAATGTAAATGAGTGACTTCAGTAACATATTTGTTCTCGCACGTGGACAAGTAAATACGATAGTCGACCTGGAAGTAATTCTTGGCACATTAAATCTAATTTGACCTAATAAATCACTGCAGTCAATACAGTTGTATAACAACTTATATAAAAATGAAACCGAAAATATAATTCTTCTACACTCTAAACTTACAATATTAAACCTGTTACATAACAAATCATAATCATAACCATGTACGGGATATACTCCATCAACCTTAAATGCTAAATATTTTAAAAGTTTCCGTTGTACCTTTTCAATCTGTTGCATATAACATTTATAAATGGGATACCAAATTAAACTACAATATTCTAGTTTTGTTCGCACTAGCGATATATACAGCAGTTTAATCGGTCTTATATCGCTAAAATTTCTACAGTTTCTGATGATAAAACCGTACATTTTCATAGCATCGGATACTTTCTGCTCAATATGGTTGTTAAAGGTTAATTTTGAATCAAATATAACTCCTAAATCTTTAATGCCAATACATTTTTGAATATCTGACCCCTGAATTACATAATTAAAATCAACATTTTTTTCCTTTCTAGAATAACTTACTACTTTACACTTATTGACATTAAGAAAAAATTTTGATTTTTATACACCACATATGTATATAATTTAGATCGTTCTGTAAATCTATACAGTTAGCAACTGTTTTAATTTCACAGTATATTTTAAGATCATCCGCGAAACATAATTTTCTGTTATTGATATACTTTTTCCAAAGTCAATTTTCCAAGTGGCGGCTTTTGAGCTTCTTTGATGCAAATGCCGACCATTGGCGTGGAAATTAAGAAAAGGGATCAGTTCATCAAACGCATATTTCAAGAAAAATCATAATTTTTATTAATTTTTACATAATTATATTCAGGAAAATTTTTTTTACAGAACAATTTTTTAAACAAATTCAAAATATCACCTTTTGTGCTCCAAAAAATATTTTTTAGGTTTTTGGATGACTCTAAATAAGATCTATGTCATTTTTCTCAAAAGTTAATAGTTTTGGAGATATAGGCGATTTAAAATCCGAAAAATGCGATACCTAATATGCATTTTCGAGGCTTGAAAAATATGTAAATGAGTATTTTTGAGATTCAAGAGTATTTAAACTAAAGTCTCGACATTGATTTTGGTGAGAAATTGGGGTAATATTTTCCGTAGCAGAAAAAGGAGATCTTTTGAATTTGAATTGTTTCCTGCAAAAATGTCCGGCACCCTTCAACCTTCGATTTGTTTAAACGCGGTATTTTTGAATAGGAATCTTCAAAGGACAGAATCAGTTTTTTTTTTCAAATGTGAGCGGGCTCACAACATCTAATAAATAACAAATTAATTCTTTCAAATTAAAGCTTGTTAATTTTAGTGATTTATAAGAATATTGGACTTATTATTTAGTTTTTACATAAACCATAATATTTTTTTACAATTATCTGTAAATAATGGTTCATTCTGTCAGAAAATTTTAAAAGATTGTCTATCCAGCAAGGACAGAAAATCTCAAAATATTGTCTGTCCAGCAAGGACCACGAGGAGGTATGAGCCTTCCTTGCCAGGAAAGGAAAGGGTTAGGTATGTTAGTAAGAATATAAAGTTAGTTTTTTTTTCATTTTGTTTTTATTATTTTTTTTTTGTTTTTATATTTTTTTTTGTTTTTTGTTTTTTTTTTGTTCTGACTCTATACAGTGTGTCGCATTTAAGATGAAGATACCCCTATATTTCGGCTATTAGAATAAATACCAATTTGAAATTTTGCACAGTCATACAGGTTGTCAATTCACATTTTTTAAGATAATCAACTGAAATTTAATTTTTAAACACGGCCTACTGTTAATGCACAAACAGAGTGAATCTTCAATATTTTGCTTCGAGTTAGAGATATCGGAAAAAGTTATTTGGAAAAGATGTTCCAAATATTATTATAACCCCACATAACAAAGTTTTATGTCAAAATTCGCACTTTTACTTTTTTCATTAATTGAAGAGCTTATTTCCAGTGTCTTAAATCCAAAATTTCGATTTTTTTAATTTTCTTTTTTTAAACTTTATAGATTTCTTCAAGTCTAAAATAAAGTTATATGTACCAAAACAACTTCTTATTTGCCATTTAAAAGTGCATATGAAAATTGTAAAATTGTATAATTTGTATGTTAAATTTGTATGAAAATCTGTAATTTCATGGATTTCATTATATGGATTTAAGACACTTTGGAAATAAGCTCTTCAATTGTAGTCAGGATTCTAAAACGGACAGTTGGCTGTCCCGAGATGCATCTTTAGACAGCCAATTGTAGATTTAGGATCGAGATTACAAATAATACTGAAAAACTAAAATTGCGAATTTTGTCATGAATTTTGGAATGTGCGGTTACAATAAGTGGAATAACTTTTCCAAATAAGTTTTTCCGATTTCTCTAACGCGAAGCAAAATATCGAAAATTTACCCTGTTTGTGGATTCGCAGTAAGCCGCGTTTAAAATTTAAATTTCAGATAACTAACTATCTTAAAAATATGTGCACTATCAACATGTATGACTGCAAAATTTCTAATCTGTATGTATTTTGATAGCTGATATATAGAGGTGTCTTCATCTTAAATGCGACACACTGTATAATAATGAATACTAGTGTTCAAGATGCATCGCGATAGCTGTAAAGAAATTAATTAGAAGGACTAAAAAGAATCGTCAGAGTCTTCTGAAGTCGAATCGTTCCCAGGTTGTATAACTATTGGTGCTATTGCCGGTAAAACAGGATATTCATTTTCTATTTTTACAACATGAGCTTCGCAACTTTTCCACACATCGCTATTAATGCCACTAATTACTTCTCGAATATTCTCAATGGCCACTGCGCTTAATGTTGGTGACTGATTATATTTTCGCAATCGTTTTTTTACGGTACCCCAAACCATTTCAATTGGATTAAAAATGCAATAGTATGGAGGTAATCGCAAAAGAGTATGGCCGTGCCTGCTGCAAATGGTGTCAATAACGTATTCGTTTTTGAAATTCCGACTTTTGATCATTCTAATTAATTCTTTTTTTACTGGAATCTTTTTAGGAACAGTGATATTTTTAAGTTCCATAAATTTTAAAATTTCGTCCTTTTTCGTGTTATTATTAGGTATTTTATTTAATATGCGGGAATGATACGACGCATTATCCATAACAATCACTGAATTCGGCGGAATATTGGGCAAGAGTTGTTCAACAAACCACTTTTCAAATAAATCGGCTGTCATATCTTCGTGATAATCGGCAGAAGACTTTGTTATATTTTTGGCCGACAATAGCAATGCATTAGATACAAAACCATCTTTGCTTCCGGCATGAAGAATAATAACACGTTTTCCTCGTGAACAGGGTGTATTTAATGCACACTTGTTTGTGTTGTCAACCCAGCCGTACTTGACAACATCATGCGTATCGAACCAGGTTTCATCTAAATAGATTATGTTTCTGTTTGAATTACGATACTGTTTTATTTTACTCAAATACTCTCGTCGAAGTTCAACAATACGCCGAGATTCCATTATTACCATTCGATTATCTAATTTCTTATATTTAAATCCACAACTTATCAAAATCTCGCGCAGTGTTTCCAAAGATGTATAATTATATTCAGGGAAATCTCTCAATTTTTCACGAATCAGTTCTAAAGTAGGCACTCTATTTTCTTTGTAAAAATTGTAAACTGTTCGCTGAATAACGTCTTTTGCAGCAGTGTCAATCCTACCCAATTTTTTATTTGGTCGCTTTCGTTTTAAGGAATGATCTGTAACAATGCCTAATTTAATAATTGTATATATCGTCTTATACCCGATTTTTGTTAATACATGAATTCTCGAAACAATTGCATTATCAGCCATCAAAATATTTTCTTTTTTCAAACACTCATACATATTTAAAACTATTCTTTGGGATTGTACGTGCAAATCTTTATTTTTTAATTCGGGGCTGTCATTAACATAATTGTCATTATCTATTGATAACACAGAAGTTGATGCATCTTGATCATTCGTATCAAATGGTCTCCAAAATGCCATCCTAGAAAAATATAATATTACTTACCTTATTATCCGCCTCTGATAGCTGCTTGCAAAATGAACTATTTAGGGTGTCATATAGCCAGACAAACAGGTGTTCCATCAAGATTTATTGCGATGCGCTTCGCTGTTGCCAAGTTTAAAATTATTGAATGTAACTTTAATACCATAATTAATATATCTGCAATTTTTCATGTTTCCAGGTAAGGTATAAAATCAATAAAATTTGGAAAAAAATAATACAATTCTTGAAACCGTTTTTCAGAACTTGGATTCTTAAAAGTTGTCTGATTTCTTAAAAGTCGATCATTATATCTATAAGAGTATTACCGCTAAATTCACCAACATGGCAACGTCGATATAGACCGAACATCGAAATCACCTCGAAATTCTGTCCAGACTACAATGTTGCCGATATTCGAAAATTACTTAGAGTATAAGTTATATATACAAAGTTCACAGTTGCTTTAATTCATTAGTGAAGAGTCCATGGAAATATTAGTACCTAGTTAATTAATTTATATAGATATATTTTTTGAGAATATGTTCATATTATTTTTTAAGAGTGTCGTTCGTTGACTAGCAATTGAATAATAACGAATAGAGAATAGAGAATATTTTTTAAATATAACCTTAGGAATTTTAGGAAATATATCTGACAACCTTGATTTGAAAGGCGGTCTCTTTGAAATCAGAGTGAGGCATATTTATGTTGGAAAATTATTAGTGGATGTACTATACCAAAAAATAAATCATTAATATATAATAGGAACAACAATGGACCTAAATTTGATCCCTGTGGAACACCGGATGTAGTGAAGATTAATTCTGATATGACACCATTATACGATACAAATTGGTTCCTACCTATTAAATACCTTTCAAGTAACTTTAAGATATTTCCAGCAGATCCCAAATTTGATAATTTAAAGAGAAGGTATTTGTGATCAACCTTATCAAACGCTTTAGAAAAATCAGTATATATCTACTATATCTACTTGACCTTGTACATCCGAAACATCTGAAATATATTGAGTTATTACAGCTAAGTTTGATACAGTGGAGCGTTTATCTATAAAGCCATGTTGATAAGGTGATATCCATCCCCTAACAGAAGGGTAAATACGATTATATAAAGTTACTTCGAAAACCTTTGAAAAATTGGATAACAAAGATACCGGTCTGTAATTGGATACATCAGATTTCGTTCCGTTTTTGAATACAGGGCATATTTTTGCATTTTTCCACAATTTGGGATAAGTTCCGGTTTTTAATGATAAGTTAAAAAATTTTTGAAGTGGCTTTACAAATACCCGAGAACAATCTTTCACTAAAAATGCTGGAATATTATACGGTCCGGACGTCATTTTATTTTTAATTCTTTTAGACGCTACTAAAATTTCGTTTTCTTGAAATTCGTTAAAATTAATAGTGGGTAAGTAGATATCCCTACATTCTTGATTATCAAACTTTTTCAAAAAACATCTTAAAAGCATGGATTATATCGCGAGGATTATTAAATGTATCACCGTTGTAACACATTTCACCTGGGATTCTAGAAGTTTTATTCTTTGCATGAACATATGCCCAGAAATTTTTAGATTCGTTAGAAATACTATTATTATACTAAATATTAATATATGGGATATAAGGAAACAGAATACCAGCCAAAAAGCAACATTCATGGCTGCGAAATTTACGAGTGGGATGCGAAATTCGAATTGTAGGTGAAATTCTCACATTGACTATAAACTGACAATAGAAATAAGTGACAAAAATAAACGCAGGAAACATATGCTTCTTAAACTAACCTGATAAACATATTTAAAAGTAAATTTACCTATTAATATCAATTATTGCTGGGGTAATAAAATTATAAATTTCATTTCTAGTTTGAAAGTGACCAGTTGTTCACCACAGCAACATGCAAACAAGTTGAATTAGCATCTACGGTAGTTCCGTATTACCTGTACCAGTTTTCTTTCAAAGGATATTTAGGAGAAAATATGCACATACTACCAAGGTTGCCACCAGGTAAGGTAGGAACTAGGGTAAACATATCTATACTGGGTAACATATAATTTTTAGAAATCTTAGGTAAATTTTAGTATTTTAATTAAAGTTTGTTTAAAATTTCCTTAATTATTTCTATTAGAAAATAACTTTCACGCCACCTATGGTATATACTTTGCTAGAAGCCTTAAAAATAACCCATAAGCAACAAGCGATTTGTCATGTCTGTTCACAACGAAAAAGCTCACAGTACATCGTCCTTGCTTTTATTATCTTTCGTTAGTTAAATAGAAACCCTTCCTCTTAACAAAGAAGTTAGTTTCTATTGTCCAACAACCCAGCTTACTTTCTTAAAAAACCTGAGATGTTGGTCTTCTATGAAATAATCTTTTCTGTCGAAAGAAATTTTCTGGTCTAAATATCGAAAATCGAGTTCATTTTCGTTGTGGTTCCTGTTGCATGTGGTTGTCTTCATCAAACGGGGATAAATGTAATTTCAATTCACCTTTATCCATCTATCTTCATACAGTGCTTCCTACATTAAATTTTTTCTCTTTTTCCGAACAGATGTACTCCAATTCAATGACATTGAGTCAATTCTGTTTGTCGTTTCCTCCATCCTTTCAGTTCGGTTTATTCTATTCCAGTCAAATTTATTGTGAGGATTGATTTGACGTATTACGTATTACCTGTATTACGTATTACCTGTATCTACATTAATTTAATGATTAATGTGCTGATTGAATCCACCGTAATTCGTTACCTTAATTAAATTATACTATGACTAATGGAAGAACGACGAAGACACAAAAATGACCAAGATGGCAGCAATATGTATGAAAACATTTACAGGTAAATAAAAGCAAAAATACGAATAGCAAAAAATAAATAGCTTAAGCAACAATGTATCGATCTAGAACATTTACAACGACAGCACGACGACCGCAATTTACATAAAAAGCTTAAGGAGACTGCTGGAATATACAGAAAACGAAGACCAACTACCATAGTTAATCAAGATAACCAGATAGTGCTGGGTAAAAAGGAGAAAATTGATATATGGAAAAATTATATCCAGGAGCTCTTCCATGACGAAAGACCCATAAGTGAAGTTTATAAAGACGACCAGCTGACCAGATTGGCCCCTCAATCACCAAAGAGGAGATAGAAAAGGCAATATTAAATTCAAAAAACAATAAGGCACCTGGATCAGATGAGATCCCGTCAGAAATACTTAAATTACTAGATGAAAGGGAAAGTTTAGGCAAGCTTTAGGAACACGAGAAGCAATAGTAGTAACACAGGTGCTGGTCCAAAATTGTTACGATCAGAAGAAGGATGTGTTCCTATGCTTTTAAGATTACCAAAAAGCGTTTGATCGTGTCCAACACCACAAGTTAATGCAGATCCTCAAGAAAGTTGATATAGACCAAAAAGACATAAGATGCATTGAAAACTTGTACTGGCATCAAACGGCACAGTTAAAAATAGACAATTCTATATCCAAACCCACACATATAAGAAGAGGCGTTCGACAGGGATGTGTGCTTTCCCCTCTTTTATTTATTATTTATTCGGAAGCCATATTCCAAGAATCTTTGGAGGATGCAGAGATGGAAATCAAGGTGAATGGAGTATTGATCAACAACATACGATATGCTGATGTCTTAATTTGTGACAACATAGTCGATCTTCAACAACTTGTCACTATAATCGGAGAATACAGTAAGCGAATGGGATTAGAGATTAATACCAAAAAGACCAAATTCATGATCATCTCCAGAAACTTGGATGCACTTGAAAACTCCACCATAACACTGAATACTAAGTCCATTGAAAGAGTGAGTAAGCTCGACACTGTCATTTTGTGCGATATTTTCTAGGGACTTGAAGCGTTGGAAATAAAGTCGCTTAGACAAAATTTATGATATTAACAATGACATTATGACAACTTAAATATCGAATGCCACATTACAGAATAATCTAGACTCAATTCAAAACTAGACTCAACTAAACAGATCGAGTGCATAATTAAAGCAGATCACACAACGTTTCTGAAAATGAAATCATTCTTCAGTAACCACAATTTAAACCTTAAATTGCGTTATAGAAATATAGAAATTTTATATTTGGTCTGTGTTATACTACATCAAGACCTGGACTCTGCAGACTGATCTGCAGCGTTCGAGAAGTGGTTGCATAAAAGGATGGTCCGAATACCTTGGAGAACTATGTAGATAAGCTAAACCATATTAAATAGAGCAGAGGCCGCAGCAGAGAAATTGAGATGCTATGTTTTCTCTGTGTTGTTGTACGGGGCGGAGGCATGGACGCTTACAGACGCCACTATTAAAAAACTTGAAGCATTTGAGATGTGGCTTTATAGAAGAATGCTGAGAATATCATGGATAGCAAGGATCACGAACAAGGAAGTTCTAGGAAAAATGAAGAAGGAACCAGAGATTGTGTTTACGATCAAACGCATAAAATTGCAATATCTGGGACACGTTATAAGAAATCAGCACCGTTACTCCCTGCTACAGTCTATATTGCAAGGTAAAGTCAAAGGTAAGCGAGGACCCGGTAGAAGGAGAATATCATGGCTGCGGAATTTAAGAACATGGTTTAAGAAAACCTCAACGGAGCTGTTTCGAGCCGCAGCAAGCAAGGTTATGATTGCCAATATGATTTCCAACATCCGAAACGGATAGGAACCAGAAGAAGAGAAGAAGAGGCCGTTAGTGAATTATGTTTACCTATAAAGATAAGAAAAATATTGGAGGAACAACTGGGGCACGCTCAGTTTATAATGAAAAATAAAATATAAGATATGAGCACAAACAACAAACAAGATGCCATTAAATAAGAAATGCAAGAATATCTGAAGAACAACATATCTAAGTTAGAAGTAGTTAATGTTGTTGAAAAATAAATAAACAACTTCGAAAACATCGGAAAAGAAATATTAAATCAATACGTGCCTTTGATAAAAAAAGAAAAAACCATTGATAATCGTACCAATATATTACAAATGATGGACAAATAATTCAAGGGGGAAAACTATGCCTTATATCAGCATCTAGGCAGAGAGAAACAAGATAAGCTGTCAGATAAGCTAAAATTGTAAATGCTAGAAGCTAAAATTAAGACATAAACACGATTTGTTTAACATCCACAAAAAGATCAAAGAAGCAGCAGGCTAGATAACAGGGATTACCGTATATTAAACGGTATCAGAAGCCGGTTTAAAAACTCCATCACGTCTACAAAAACCTATCCAGGCACTGATATAGAATCGGATCACAATCCGGTGGTGGCTATAGTAAATATAAAATTCAAGAAACTACAGAAAAGTGCAGTTAAACAAAAGATGGAATTAAGCAACTAAAAAAGGCAACTATACTGGAAAGGACAAGAGAACAGGTAAACAATAATATTAGAAACATCGCTACAAAAAATAGAAACACAGGAAATGTAGAGAATAAATGGATGGAGATAGAAAATGCCCTTATGACAGCTGGTGAAGGCTCCTTAGCTCCAAACAAAATTGAGAAAAAAGAATGGATGACAAACAAAATTTTGCATCTCATGGAGGAAAGGCAAAGAAATAAAACCAACGAAGACCAGACCAACCAGACAAAATACAAAGAAGTGAACCGTGAAATTAAGAGAAAAATTAGAGAAGCCAAAGAGATCTGGTTTCTGGACAACTGCAAGAAAATAGAAGAATATGATAGAAAGTACGATAGCTTTAACATGTATAAAAAGATCAAGGAAATAACAGGTAAAAAAGTGAAACAAGCATCCATCGTAAAGAACAAAAAAGGTAAAATAATTACAGATTTAAATGAAAAACTGGCAAGATAGACAGAATACATTAAAGAACTTTTTGCAGACGAAAGACCAGAAATAGCAGTGGCAGAACCTACAGACGACACAACAGGGCCTGAAATCCTAAAACGCGAGGTAGAATATGCTATAAGCTCGACAAGCTTTCGTAAAATTCAAGAAGGTACTGACTTGTTCAGAGTTCGATCTTCAACTGAGACTAAGGTTTACTAAGTGTTACGTATGGTCAGTGCTGCTATATGGCGTAGAGGGCTGGACATTCAAAACGAGGGATATAAACAGATTAGAAGCTTTCGAAATGTGGCTTTATCGCCGTATCCTAAAAATACCATGAACAGCGAAAATCACAAATATAGATGTCCTTAAAAGAATAAACCAAGAACGCCAACTTTTCCAAACGATCAAGAAAAGGAAAACGGTGTATCTAGGTCACATCATGCGAAATGTTCTCCAGTTCCTCCAACTTATAATGGAGGGTAAAATTGAAGGCAAATGAGACGCAAGAAAGTGTCCTGGCTCCGAAATATAAGGCAATGGACAGGGATTAACGACATACAATCTCTGATACATATTGCAAGAAATAGAGATTTAATGGAAAATGTGATCGCTAACATCCATTAAAGGATTTGCATCTGAAGAAGAAGAAGAAGAATTAAATCATCTACGCTGTCAGAAAATAATGCAAATGAAAGTGATAGTGAATGATTTATAGTAGGCAGTAAGAAAGAGAGTTTTAAAAAGAAATGTGTCTTAAAGTTAGTTAAAATACTGATTGTAACTTTTTATTTGGTTTTAATAATTACTTTAACAGTGTCTAATAACTGAAAAATTTTGAGTCCAATAGTTAAATATTTTGTCCAAAAGTTGACTGTTTGTAACCGTTCAGGTCTTTTCAAGTTTTCTAAAATAACTTATATTAGGAATATTTAAAACCGGGCATCTCAAAATATTATATATTTATACTGTGATCTATCATAACAGCATACAAGCATACATTGTACCAGCGGTAGCGAGTAGACATTGAAAAAAAAAACCTAACTGTCTATTTACTGATATGTTTACCCTATACAAATTAATCCCTGCACATGATCGTCTTCTAAAATGTATATATTATTTTTTTCTTTTGACAGGTTGTGAGAAGGTTGTTCATGCTGAAGAATTTCACTATATGTGGGATGATGGCAATAACACTGACCTAAGTAAATTCGCTGAACCAGAGCGTTTAATGTTACATCAATTCGTCGTTATGTGGACAAATTTCGTTAAATATTTGTAAGTATTGTTAAAAACAATGATTGTTTAGTAGTAGGTAGTATTTTCGATCTATTTTATTAATTCTTTTAGTAATCCCACACCTGTACAGGATCCTTTGTTATATAATTTCACCTGGTTACCTTCGGAGCCCGAAACTCTTCGATATATAAACATCAACACAACATTTGAAATGCGTGAACAGCCAAGACAATATCCTCAAGTAAAGCAGATATTAGAAAAATATATGGAACCACCTTACAATGTATTTTCATAAAAATTCATAAATAATTACTATATTAAAATCTTTTATATTAAGTTTTCCTTATTTTAAGTGTATGATAAAAGATAATAAAATGTTTTATATTTATAGAAAATTTTGACATCATTTAATCCTCTCTCGTTTATACTTCTGTCCTTTTAACTCAAATATCCGTTTTTATTCTCACTTATATGTGTCTTCAACCCATCACTCAATCCAATCCGGAGTTCCTCAGAGAAGTGTCCTCGATCCCTACCTGTACCTAATCTTTACTGCTGACATACCTATTACAGATGACGTCACATTGGTGACTTTTACCAATCATGGCTTGCATACATTAGAGAATTAAAATCATGAATGTGTTGCTTGTGTGAGTCCATTTCAAATAGGTAAAGAAATAATAAATAAGAATTACTCACAATTAATTTAGTTTAACTATCCAGACGACCGGTTTCGCTTTCTATAATATACAAAGCATCTTCAGGTCTCGGTACAAAGTTAAATAAATGCTGAAATAATAATAAACCTATACTAAGGTGTTGTCTAATAAAGATAAACAAAATAGATGTTATAAATTACAGTAATTATGCCAATATTATATGTCTGTGGTGAACAAATTCCCCTTCGTTGGCTCAGTGAAGATGTTCGTTCAGTTGTAATGTAAACACAAAATAATAGTAGCAGAGTTTATTGACGAGACGTACACTATGGGTGTTGACCCGGGATTACTTTGAGTAGAGACTGTTGCAGTTGAGCGTTGAAGACTATCACGTTTGTTGAGTGAATATTGATTGCATGCTTCTCTAGGCAAGAGATTTTAGTTTTATATAAGTCTTAATTGGGTTAATATATTCGCGGACCTAATGACATGTGTATCTAAGTTGTGTGTAAATTGTTTAACTTTCGTCAGCACTTTCGACTGATGTCCAAATTTTATTGTTGATAATTGACCAAATCTAATGTAACCTAATTAACTACGTGTGTGTATTTAATAACAAATAAATTCATTCGGTCTACTGGGTGATAAAATTATACTGTCCAATTTCGGATATGAATTCTGAAGATTTGATATTGGACATGTGGTTTTTCAAATGAATAAAAAGGATAAAAAGTTGTAAAAAGTTTTAACAGACAAGGTAAGACCCACAAATTGTTATAAAATAGTCTATTAGATTGTAATAAATTAATAAATGAGCAAATAAATAAAACATTACTTACATGGCGGTACTCTATTGTAAAAAATAATACAATGGGACAGATTTACGAGAAGTGGAGAGGGATTAAGGACTTCTATGTATAGGGTCCTGTAAAGACTGTCACCAAATGTAAAATACAATAGATCCTCAAGGGATGCTAACCCTGCGAGCGGCTGCAAGGAATACTGGTCACACTGGTCTGGAGGGCTGGCTCGTCTTCGTGGATTTACGAGAAGATAAGGGATTTCGGGATAGGGGTAAGAACTCCTCGGTCTCAGGTCCTGTAAAGAGTAGAGGTTATGGGCTTACTTTTGAAGCCGGAGATATGTATACGCAGAATTCTCGTGTTCTCCTAGTCTCTAGTGAGTCGGACGAAGGAACATTAAAAAAAAACCATATTAGAGTCAACAATATATTGAATCTACCCTGAAGTTCCTAATACAATCGTTAACACGTTATTCTGCGCGTCGGGAGACGATGTAGCAAGATAGTGAAAAGTTGACAGAGGTACAAATATAATTACACAGGTTAGTATAAGAAATCTGTTACCTTATGTGTATATTAGGGCTTCAACCACGACACGCTCAGTCTTCTGGAACTCGGTCAGTTGAGGGTTGCGAACTTTCGAGCTGCCACAATAACCGGACTACACGCGAATTCTGACAGAAGATACCCGGCCCCCGGAGAATCACCGATTGTCTCGCGTACTGGACGCTATCGCGTCCGCCGATCACTACCCTGAGCGGGCAGTTACGGTGGCCCGCTATTACTGACTACTAACTACCCGGCGTCCGTCGTTTCTTCTTGTTTTATCGTGGTCGTACTTTCAACGCCGGTTCTAGTACCAAGGTCGTAGGTTCGCTGAGTTGCAGTTTTGGTATTATTGCTGCCTATTTGGGTCACGGATGTTTCGTGCTTTTTATACGTTTAAACAATTATCAAACAATGCAATAACTAGGTCAATTGTTATACTTTGTATAATTTAAATGTATAAGTTAACTGTATTAATTATCCCTTATTTAATTTGGAATATATGATAATTATCTCGAATAATTATTATCTTTTCTATGCTACTTATTATTCCATTATCCCTTTATTCCAACTTCTCACTCACTTGCTACGCTTACATTACACTATAATTGATAGATGGTAGAACATGGTTGAAACTATCATGTATTGTTGAATAGAGAACTTAAGTCTGCTATTGTAAATGCTTGACAATAAAAGGGAAGTTCTTGAGGAGATAGATTTGATCCAATGAAGTAGAGATAGTTGTAATGTGATTAATGTGATGTTTGTTAGATGAAAGTGATGTTCTATACCATTGTAATATTTAAAAGTTATTTATACTAATTCAAGAGATATATTTATGAAATGTGTGTTATTTACTGAGTAGTTTAATGAAGGTGACAGTTTTATGACAATGAATAAGATTAGATGTACAAATTGTGTGGGTGTGCAATTCTTTCAACTTGTAATTATCAAATTTCTTTGATAAAGTTCTATTGGCAAAATGGTAAATTATTGCAAAGTCAAGTATATACAATTATTAAAGTTTAAACCATTAAGGACAATTTAAACACACAGAAACAGAAAACACCCAGAAGGGACGAAACAAACATTACATTTAAAAAGGGGAAGGACTTTTATATGACAATGAGTTTTTTTATATTATCTATTAGATTTTAGAGGTAAATTTGACATATATGTAGGTTAAAATGTGACAGTTCTTTTTCGGTTTCTCAATACTATAAGTTAAGCTATCCAGTTTTGTAAAATATGCTGATATAATTGAATGTCTCTAAATTGTTTTAATTAAGATATCAAAAGTAAATTGATGTGTTTAATATTGGCATGCTTTAACAATCTTTAATTAATTAAATTTAAATGTAACAATACGAATAATTGATATACATCCCCTATTATAACTAACGCAGTTTAGTCCAACTTACAGAATAAATTACAGTGATTATTTGGCAACTAAACATGTAAATCTGTAATCAAAACATATAACAAATTTACAAAATTTATTTGAAAATATGTTGCTGTGAGTTTTCTGTCATGGTGTGTATAAATATTTTTAAATATTTAATTCAAGTTCTAATATATTAATGTGTAACTATTAATATATTTTGCCAATAGAACTTTATCAAAAAAATTTGATAATTACAAGTTGAAATAATTGCACACCCACACAATCGGTACAGCTACTCTTATTCATTGTCATAAAACTGTCACCTTCATAAAATAAATACTCAATAAATAACACACATTTCATAAATATAATTCTTGAATCAGTATAAATAACTTTTAAATAATACAAGGGTATAGAACATCACTTTCATCTAACAAACATTCACATTATATTTTCCTATCTTAAAGACTGTCAACTTCTTCAAAGGATCTAAAACGTATATTTTATCACACATACATATTATTATTATTATAATTATTATTGTAAACTAATGTATATTCACATATTGTATCAACTGTTAGATATGTTATATAATCTAAATACGCTAATGACCCTGCGTGGTTGATGCGTTAATAAAAAAAAAACAATCACATTACACCTATGTCTACTTCATTGGATCAAATCTATCTCCTCAAGAACTTCCCGTTTATTGTCAAACAACTACAATAGCAGACTTAAGTTCTCCATTCAACAATACATGATAGTTTCAACCATGTTCTACCATCCATCAATTTAGAGTACCGGCATGTAAGTAATGTTTTATTTATTTGCTCATTTATTAATTTATTACAGTCTAATAGACTATTTTATAACAATTTGTGGATCTTACTTTGTCTGTTAAAACTTTTTATACCTTTTTATTCATTTGGAAAACCACAGACATATAATATTGGTATAATTACTGTAATTTATAACATCTACTTTGTTTATCTTTATTAGACAACACCCTAATATGAATTTATTATTATTTCAGCATTTATTTAACTTTGTATCGAGACCTGAAGATGCTTTGCATATTGTAGAAAGCGAAACCGGTCGTCTTGATAGTTAAATTAAATTTATTGTGAGTAAGTCTTATTTATAATTTCTTTACCTATTAGAGAATTAAATCCACAAGGAAAAAAATTCCTGTAGCTTACTGTATACCACGTATCACAAAAAGAGGTTAGGCTTTTTAAATGGGTATATTTATTTAAAAATCGAAGGTTTTAAAATCGAAAATGCTAGGTCACAATGCCTGAGCCACCAAAATACTAGGGTAAAAACCCTTTAAATTACATTTAGTTATAAAAGATTGTACATTGTGTTATAAAATAACTGTGATGTTCAGTATTAAATTAAATTTGACTAGAGGTAACACATGGCTGAATCGAGTTACCAGAGCCAGCTGTTCTCCGCGTGTACAGGTTCTCTCTCACCGGCTCTGGTAACTCGATTCAGCCATGTGTTACCTCTAATCAAATTTAATTTAATACTGAACATCACAGTTATTTTATAACACAATGTACAATCTTTTATAACTAAATGTAACTTAAAGGGTTTTTACCCTAGTATTTTGGTGGCTCAGGCATTGTGACCTAGCATTTTCGATTTTAAAACCTGATGATGGACTGTGTGGTCCGAAAACGTTTGTTTTATTGATGTAGCCCTTTTAAGGGTTTTTTAAATAAATATACCCATTTACAAAGCCTAACCTCTTTTTTTTTATTAGAGAATTAGTTGGCAAAATGGATAATTAAAGTCAATAACGAAAAATCGGGCCAAATCACATTTACAACACGAAGATGCAAGTGTTCACAAGTAAGTCTAAACAATGCCCCCATATCCAACTTAGCATAATATAAAATTAAAACAAATGAATTGGTTACTTGGCAAAAAGTCACACTGTCATTGGAGAACAAAATACTGCTTAACCCTTAGTCTCTTGACGGTACTGTTAAGAATCCACTAGATTCTGGTACCCTTATATCCCAAGCGATATACTTATAACCCTTATATTTACGAGGTATTAGATATTTTATGTATATTTATAGGCAGTTTTTATAGAAAGAATTTTTACTTTTCCTGTTTATTTTATTATTTAACTCAGTTAAATTCATGAGCAGTTAAGATCCTTACACGTAGCGCATACGGTTCTGATTTCTTAGTCTACATGATATTGACATGAAAGGCATCGCTGCATTCTAACTGTGGTTTCTACTATAGTCTTGAAATGTTTCCGCTCCATCTGTTGTATCTTCATGACTTGTAGTTTCAACGCTGTGTATTTTGAACATTAATACAACCGCATTAAAGATATACTACATCTTAAGTGTCTTAGAAACAATATTTTTTTTTGCGATAACAAATAATTAATTTTATTTGTTTGTTCAACTACTTAAAGGGACATTTATATGCAAATATGTAATAATAACCTGAATTTCGATTCAATCTAGAATCAACAATTATGTTATTACTATGGGTATGTTATTAGCCACTTCATAATACGGTTTATCTGATTAAACCACTTAGTAACGCAAAATGATTATATGATTATGATGATTACTTTAATTGCTTTTGTACTGTTACTAAAACCATCTGGCAGTTCTATTTTGATTAACACGTTATATAAATACATGATTTAATAACACCACAATACCTTAATATTTTATAGCCAGTGAGAAGTGAAGGACTTTAATTCTAATTTATAAAAAAATGAAGTTTCTTCTGGTAATAAGTCTTCTTTGTGTCGTTCTCACTGCACAGGCTTCCGATGATGATGGTACCTTAGTTCAAACTGAAAGGGGTATGATTAGAGGGCATATCCTTAAAAGTGAAAATGGAAACAACTATTATGCATTCCAAGAAATACCATATGCTGCTCCCCCAGTTGGAGAAAATAGATATCAAGTGAGTACAATAGTTGAAGATAAAATTTATAGATTCTAAAACATGTATTTCAATTATTTTACTATTTTGTGATTAGTTTTTGTAAATCAGATATAATGTGTATTTAAATATACAAATCAATAAATACATAACACAAATCAAAGTACATGATGATAAGGAAAGACGAAACAGCATCACAAAAGTACTTGTTTACATAAAAATACAAATTTAAAGCAGTACCCATCTTCAGTTACTCGAAGTGGCAATAGAAAAAAACTGGAAAACAGACGAAAGCTTTTTGACTAGAAAGAAAGTAAAGAAAATGAATAGAAATCTACTCAGTAGCAGGATTCTCAGTTAGGAAAATATAGCTATAAAAGATCTAATAAGATCTGCTATTATATAAGATACATGGAATTAAAACAGAGAAGCTAAAAAAAATGAAGACAGCTAAAACTGAAATTCAAAAGACAGAGAATGATAAGAAAATTCAACAATTAGAAAAGGGCTATTAGTATTTTTAAATAAACTGATTTTTGTCACCTCGGGGTAAATGAAAAGGGTCTTGCTACCTTCTGTACCACCGTGTGCTCTGTAGAGGGGCTTCGGAAACATCGTGAGCTCCTCTACTTTTGTCCATTTTCAGGGTATTAACTTCAAAATGTTTTGTGTCCTGATGGCTCGTCTTAATAAAGACGAGAGATTTCTTACATGACAAATATCTTACATGATAGTTGTCGAAATAAACATCAGGTTTGTTGTCTTCGATGTCTTGCCTTGAAAAAGGCAAGATATTTCTTACACGACTAAATAGTCGAAATAAAACACCAAGTTTAAGGTTGAATAAATACTCAGCCACAGAGTATGGAAAGCTAAAAAGGAAGCAGAGCCCCGAGAGCACCAAGCTCTCGGAGAGCCCGTGAAGGACTGACTTGATTGAGCAAGCAATTTGATTGAACCCAGCCTATGAGAAATGTTCACCCAGGTAGTACGATCGGGTGTAACAATTCATTGGAGCAAGGTGTTTTAATTCGTGTTTAAAAACAGGAATCACCCCACCGTGCTCCAATGCTCTAGACCATCCCTTTCCCCCCTATAGCAATCTGATTCGCTATAGAGGCACAACAATCAGCCAAGTGCTCTTCATGTGGAGGTCCTGGATAATTGAACCCCAACATGGTTTCCTAACCGTATGTGAAAACTCAGGACAGCGCATCTCCGCTTTATTCCTGTTTATCTTAATGTAGCTTATCCGCGAACTAAAATTGCTTACTTACAAGGGGGTTGGGCCCTACGTGCCCGGGTTTAGGGGTTTTTGTTAATTTTTTTGGTGGCCTAAGCCGGTTTTTGTTAGTGTTTTTTTTTTTATTTTTTTGGTGGCCGAAGCCGTTTTTTGTGTTTTTTGTGATTTTTTTTGTAGACTTGATTGACCTGAAAATCGCCTATTTTTATACTTTCTGAAGTAGCGATCTCGAACGTGAATTAGTCGCGGCCGAGAACATTTTTACCTGTTTCTTTTTGCAGCATAATCACAACAATAGCCCAGGCAATTTTGTTCTGATTGTTTCAAATAATGTTTGTTCTTTTAGTATTCTTTTTTGTTACTTTTTTCTAAAGTATACTTCATTTTTTGGTACTTGTGGATTATGAGAAAGAAATCAACGAGGCGAAACAATGAGTATCTTTGCAGCTCACCATGACTTAATCGTGCTAAATACATTTTACAAACTACCACCTAGATGCCTGTACACTTGGAAATCACCAAGAGATAACGGAGAAGACCTTAGTATAAGAAACCAAATAGACGATATATTTGTTAACAAAAGATATCGAAATAGTTTCAATAAAGTATAAAAGTATAAAAAACATGACATGAGAAAACTGAAATGTGGTGAAGTAAAAGCAATAGTCAGCAAAACAATAAATATTATATTCAAATAAATCGATAATACAACGAAAATCACAGAAGAGAAGAGAGAATTCCTTAATAAAACGATAGACGACATTAAAGACAATTTTATTAAGAACGAAGAAGGTACGAATAAGACATGGATGACGACAAAGATTCTGCAGCTGATAAAGGAAGAAAGAAGAAAAAACAAGAACAATAACCCTAAGTATAAAACATTACAACGAGATATACAGAGAGAGATCAGAGAAGTCAAACAGAAAGAACTGAAAAAAACATCCCAAAAAATATTTACCTGCAAAAATTTGAGTCTGGTTTTTTAGCTGGTACAGTGTTGCCAACCCAGATTACGTGTTCTTGTTCAGTCACTTTAGACTTCTTTATTATGTTCCTTTTATATTTGCCATCATTCCAAAAACCTTTTCTTCTCTTGTTTATACGACATTTCTTAACTGAACCATTCATTCTAATCTAATTATTAACTACAATAGAGATGACAAAAATCATCAAATAATAAAGTACAATATTGTCTGACTAAACTCAGCTGTGAGGATAATTCGAATATTTGCCACGCAGTTCTAATGCCGCAACTGTTTACCGCAGAAAGAAAACTTGTCATGGACTAGTTTCTTTTCTGCAGTAAATAGAATATTGAAAGCGTTGCCATGTCAATACTAATATGCGGACGTGCTTCCTTTTTGTAGTAAACGTTGCCTTTTGCTACTGGAAACAATTTTAATAAAATACACCAAAATTGGTTCATATTGGACATGATTCTACGTACGAAATTCTACAACAAAGTAAATGCGACGACTTCAATGTGCATAAAAAAGTAAGAGAAAGTACAGGCAAATGTAAAAACAGAAGAGTAAATAAACTTTTTATTGACAACGGAGAGGGAATCATGGACAAAGAGAGTATTGATAATACCTAAAAAAATTACATACGAAATTCGATGAGAGAAAGAACCAGTCCCCAATACCAACGGAAACAGGACCACCTAAACTAGCGACAGAAATAAGAGCAGCCATAATGTCACTAGAAGAAGAAAGAGCTCCAGGACCAGACGAAATACAGTCTGAATTTCTTAAACTTCTTGATGATGAATCTTTAAGAATACTATGTAAAATCTTCAATAAGATTTATGACACAGGCAATATTCCAAAAGATTGGCTAGTTTCAAAATTTATTACGTTTCCAAAGAAAATTTTTCCTAAAATTATACATCGCAGAATATACAAGCTATGCGAAGAGAGAATACAAAACGTACAGTTGGGATTCATGAAAAGCGTAGGTACGAAAGATGCACTGTTTAGTCTACAGGTATTATTAAAAAAAATGCAGAGATATGACTTGTGATATCTACACCTGCTTTGTGGAATACCAAAAACATTTGACATAGTTCAACACCAAAAAATCATGGATATTATAACAAAAGCCCAAATAGATGATAAAGACCGACGTATAATACAAAATTTATACCGAAACCAATCACCCACAATAAGAACAAATCTTGGAGATGAACCGACGGAATCGATCCAGATTCTGCGAGGCATTAGACAAGAATGTATACTTTCACCAATATTATTTAACCTTTATACATAGAAAATATTTAGTGAAGCCTGGGAAAATTACGAACATGGAATCATTTTAAATAAAGAACGCCTAAACAACATCCGCTATGCAGATGACACCGTTATTTTTGCAGACAGTTTAAACAGTTTACAGCAACTAATAAACAAAGTTAATGAAGTAAGTAAAAGATTTGGACAAGTAAACATATCAAAAACTAAATATGTGGTCTTCAGCAAAAATAAAATTAGAGACGTCCAACAACTGCTTATCAAGAATACACTGGTTGATCAAGTAAAATAGTTTACCTATCTTGGAACAATAGTAAATAAATAATGGGATCACTCACAAGAAGTGAAATGTAGAATAGAGAAGGCTAGGAGTGCATTCAACAACATGACTAAACTCCTTCAAAGCCACAACTTTAATCTGGAGATAAAAGTGAGGCTTCTACGATGTTATATCTTCTCGATATTATACTACGGAGTTGAATCCTGGATGCTCACTAAAGCTCACTATCCAGAAGAATCCTAAGGATATCATGGACGGACAAGATAACCAACGGGACTGTACAATGAAAATATGAAAAGAAAGGAGTGATGTATACGATTATAAGAAGAAATTTAGAATATCTTGAACATATATTGAGAAACAGCACTAAACACAGATTACTAAAAATAATCCGTCAAGGCAAAGTATTCAAAAAGCGAGGAATTGGGAGAAGAAGAGTATCATGGTTAAAAAACCTGAGGAAATGGTTCTCTACAACAACAACAACTTACTTATTTAAAGCATCTGTTAATTAAATAATTATATCTAGAATTACGGCCAATCTTCAAAAGGAGTAAGCACCAAAAGAAGAAGAAATACTTCGTTTTACCTGTAACTCTTTTTGCGTAAAGAATTCATCTTATTTAATGCTAATGCTAATGCTTTATTTTACCGCAGAGACTTCTCATTTACAGATATTCTATTTAATTTTGCTTTGCTTTTGTATTCCAAAAGTTATTTTATCATTTTATACAATATAAAGCATAATAATTTATTGTTTCTAGAATCCCAAACCTCCAAATGCTTGGCCTGGAATCTTGGATACAACCAAAAATACCAAAGTTTGCTATCAGACAGTTGTTAAGTATAGTAACCTAGAAATTAGCGAAGACTGCTTATACGTGAACGTATACACCCCCCAAAAACCTGGATCTGATGATCTTCTACCCGTGTTACTCTGGATACATGGTGGAGCATTCCAAAATGAATCCAGTACTTATGAGTACTATGGTCCGAAGTATATTATGGATCATGGCGTTGTTGTGGTTACTTTTAACTACAGATTGGGACCATTTGGTAAGTACTTAACTGGGTTTTTATGTTTAAACAAACTCGTATCATGACTAGAAATTATCATGATAATTCTCTTTGTCTTTATCTATATGTGAAATCAGCTTTCCAATTATATTTTGTCATAATTGTGTCATAATAATTTAAAAAGTTTACGATCGAAAAAAACAAGAGTACCTAGAAAAGTATGCCAAACAACAAAAATAGTAAAGATAATCCTAAAGAAGCAGAAACGAAAGTATACGTGTGATAAAATAAAGCGTATTGAAAAAAATTACAAGATAAATGAAATGAAAAAAAATTTCACAAAGAGGTAAAATACATGAAAACTTGGTATCAGGAAAGAACGATGAATGTAAAAGATAAGAAATGAAAAATTATAATGTTCCTAAACCTCAAATACTAATAGAAGAAATACCAAAGCTCACAAGAGAAGAAATTGAAGAAATAATAAAATATAGAAAAATTTAAAAAAGCCCCGAAGACAGCGGCATTGTGGGAGAGAACTTAAAATATGGAGGTGAGGCTTTCGTAAATCAACTTAGTGAGCTAATACTAGAAGTGTGGAATGCCGAAGAAATGCCTTAAGAATGGAATAAGTCGATTATAATTCCTATACACAAAAATGGAGATAGAATTGAATGCGCAAACTATAGAGGAATGTCCTTATTAGAGGTAATATACAAAGTGCTCGCCATACTAATTAAAAAACAATTAGAAATATATGTAGAAAAGAATCTAGGAGAATTTAAGAGAATACCAGGGACGATATCGAAAAGAAAGATCAACAACCGATCAAATTTTTATGCTACAACAAATTTGAACACAACATTTCAGCACCAAGTACTTTTCATTGATTGCAAAGCCGCCTACGATACAATAGATCAAATTAATAAAAACGATAAAATAATTCCAAGTGCCAGAAAAAATAGTAGGATTGGTAAACATGACAGTTAGACAAACCATTTGTGTTTTGAAATGAAACGGTATATGAAATGAGACTGCCAAGAGCAACAGATGTGCTGGAGCCATGAGCAGAATAATTAAGGATAAATATATATATCTCGTAATGTAAAAATAAGAGTATACAAAACCATAATTAGCCTAACAATGCTATACGTTGCTGAGACATGGACTATAAACAAAACCATACAGAATAGTTTGGAAGCATGGGAAAAAAAGATAATTCGTCAAATGTTTGGTGTAAAAGCAGGAGAGGGAGAATGGGGAAGACGAACTAATGCAGAAGGTATCATTTGTAAAACTTACAATTACAAAAGTCGTGAAAAAATGTAGACTAGAACGGCTTAGACATCTAGAAATCATGCAAGGTAATAGACTAGTCAAGAGTATTGCTTAGAGAGTACCTGAGGGCAAAAAAAGAAGAGAAGCCCAAGAATAAAATGATGAGATGTAGTGATGAAAGATATCAGAGAGATGGGAATCAGAGATTGGAAGCTGATAGCTAAAAATAGAAAACAATGGAAATTATCTATCCAGCAATGGGCCTAAAAGGCCGGTTAACACTGTACATATATACATACTTCTTTTACCTACGTAAATGAGGATGAGTTTATAGTTTGTTATTGTTTTCTTAACACTTTTTTTAAATTTAGTCAATATTTTCAATATTTCACTTTAATGTGTTACAATGTCTTCTTCTTCAAATGTCTGACATTTAAAGGAGTGAGAAGATTAAATTTAAAGTTAATGATCACTATGATGATAACTATTTTAAAAATACGTATTATACTCCTTATAATTTCTATTTAAATTCTTAGGATTTGTCGGTACCCAGGACGGAGTAATTCCACTTAATCTCGGTTTAAAAGACCAGCGATTTGCTATAGAATGGGTCAACAGAAATATTCATCTTTTTGGTGGAAATCCAGAGCATGTGGTGTTGGTAGGCGAAAGTGCTGGATCCATGTCTGTGGGGTATCACTTAATGGGACCATGGGAGGAAGACAAACGTAAGTAGTTATGGTTTATTAATATACAAATATAAAAAATAACCAATCTAATACTTCAACTGAATCTTACAACCAAAAATTATTTTTATTATTTTTCAAAGTATTTGTCTTTAAGATAGATAAACTTGTGCATTCAGACAAATATATCTTAGAAATGTTTATGCCAGTCCAAAATAGGTATTTCCTGAATAAGGTTTTTTATCCTTGAATTATATCATCTAGCGTCTTAAATCGTTTATCAAGTGGTTTGTTTTTAATTCCGGAAATGCAAAAAAATAAAAACATAGCGCAAAATCAGGACTGTACGCAAAATAGTCTAACAAATCTATGTTTTAGGCTTCAAGTACTTGTTGATGGTATACCAGCTATGTAAGAGCTGGCATTATCTTAATGTAAGAGTATGCCATTATTTTTAATGTTTTTGCGTTCATAAATTTCTTCTGGCAAACAAATATTAGTAGTCCAAGCAGCATTGATGATTAAATCGTTCCCTAATGAAATCATAACAAGATGTTCCTTTAATCCAAAAACTCTAGCCACTATTGTTTGCTGAATGCGGACTACATATTTTTGGCTTTGGCTCAACTTAAAGTACTTATATAATTGATCGATTTTCCGTTCTAGGCTTATTCCGTACCAAACTTGTTGCTTTTATTAAATCGTTTGAGTGAGACTCAGCCCCAATTGACACGAAACTATTTTCGTGAGATATTTTGAAGGAAATTAACCACAATTTTAATATTAATTAGATTTGAAGTCAATTTGATTTAATAATTATTTTGAGAATGAAATCAAAATAAAAAAAAACGTTTTTTGAACTAAAATTCTCGTTAATTCCCATTTTAAAAACTGTAAATAATATTGATGTTCTTCAGTCATGTCGCACGCATTATTAATGTTTTCCAGGACAACAGCTACTTGTAGACAGCCTTCACAACCTTGTTACTGATGCTATAATAGACTACCATGGTTAAATTCCTTAAACTATAATCAAGACAATGAATAATACACTAATAAAACTTGATAAGACAATTATATGGACGTTAAAGCTTGGTAATAGCATAAGATGTTAACTTTAAAATCCTAGCTGGTGAAGTAAGATTTTACAGAAAAATGAAAGGCATGACAATATTTGATAGTCCAAAAATAAAATAATACGACAAAAACTGCATATGTATCGCCCAACGAAAAAACAAAGGAATAAAAAAAGTTGAAACAAAATGGATGAAAATAAAATAATAAAACAAATAGTAAATTAAAAACTTAAATAAAGAAGCATCTTAGGAACTTTTATAAATAAGTCCGTCTAGAAAGTATCCGGAAGAAGGAAAGCAGAATTACAACTTTACGGTATTTATTTCTATTACTTGAAATATAAACATTTAACTAAACGTCCAGGTATACCCGAAACTATGTCAAGGCCCTAATTGTCGGTAATGGTGTTCCAGGCCTGTAAAACTGACCAAATCTTCTTACTTCTGAATTTTTTATCTCGTGGCGCTGCTCGTTTCACTTCAATTTTCATCAGTTCCCATATGTTTTCAATAGGGCTAGGATCTGGAGATGCTGCTGGCCACTGAGTTGTTGCTAACTCCCTTGCCAAGCTTGAGTATAAGCAGAAGTATGGCATCTTTCATTATCTTGCTGAAAACGCCACCCCTCTGTATATAGAACATGAGCTGTTTCAAAAAGAGAACCATTTAGGATGTCACAATATTAACACACCTAACCAAACCATTTTTGAAAGGGAAATTTGGAAATTTGAACGGTAACAATTTCTCTTGATAGGACTTTTAGATGATTTGTACCAAACTGGAAACAACTTTCATCAGATATAAAGACAATATTAAAATTATCTTCTCGAAAACGGGATTCCTAGATCTGTAGCCTGGCTTTTTTAGTGGCATGCGGACAGTTTCTGGACACACTTTTATTCTTCGCTGTTCTCCAAATCTGCTTGCCAATTTTCGAAACCCAAGGCGCGGATTTTGTAGTCCTAAAGCCACTAAAGCAATTAAATTGACATTTTTTATCCTCTTTATTGTCTCTTACACTGCACTTTTTTCGAGTTCAGTCAATTGCACTAATTTTTTAACGACCATAACCTAACATCGGCACAACCTACTTGATGCATTACTTTTATCTTAAAATATTACAAACAGGAAATTTATTAAAATTAGGAAAAATATAAAATTTCGGATACTTTCTAGATGGACCATATTATGTCAATTTTGAAGTAGGGACGGGCAAGAAATGTATTAACCATTAAATAAAGCAGCAGAAGATGATTGATATTTTATGATATAATGTATATAACTTATGTAAGAATTAAGAACTGTTATACTCAATTTAAAAATTCTTTAATTATTTTTAGCACTTTTATACTCAATTTAAACGTAGACTTACACAGTTTCTTTATATATAAATTTTGGTTGTCTTCTTTTCTAGAACTTTTCCATGGAGTTATTATGCAAAGTGGGACACCAGTTGCCGGACAGCTAGTGCAAGATTTAGACGCTACAACAGCAACTGCATTGCAATTGGGTAGAAGAGTAAATCCATCATTTGCTTCCAACGACACTAAGGAACTTTTGCAAGTACTTCAAAAAGCTGACGCAAAAGATATAGTTTACGTAAGTTCATAAAAGTTTTACTGATTACATAAACTTAAGTATTAATAATACATACATGCATGTACAATATATTTCTGACAGTGGGATTTTGATTGACGGGTGGAGCAAAGCTATTTTCTTTATGAGAAGTCTCCAAGATAACTGCATACCATCATATCTTTTATTAAAACAATTTGGCCTTTCATGTTCGCACCAACTCCTATGCCAATTTCCGCGCTAATCCCTCTGCCAATTCCTACGCTCACGCCAACCTCCATTCAAACCACGTCAACATCGACGGTATAAATAAACCGTCCTCTACTCTTAGTACCAGTAATGCATTAGTTAGTGATCAGTATTATTTTGGGGCTTGGAGACTGTGACTTTGAAAGCCCTGAAGAAGACATCGAAGAGGAGGTCGAAAGCTTGGCACAATGATAATCGACACGATTTAACCCGGAAGACTATTGAGTTTAATATTAATTCCTGTAATTTTGCCCAAGTCTAATAATAACATCTCTTTTAGTCTGGTATACCAGGCGGCGTTGCTACTGAAGACTCCGGTCCATTTTCCTACCAAGGTTTTCAAGCATTTTTGGACGGAAACTACAAAAAGGTTCCTGTTATAATTGGATTTAACTCAGAAGAATGGGGATTCATAGGTAATTAACATTTTTAGTTAAATTTCAATATTTTTATCACTCTTCAGTTGAAGTGGCAGTAATATTGTAATCCATTTATTTACTTCAAGGACTAGGCTTTTTTGCTTAAAAACCAATTATAACCACTGTGAATTACATGCAAGAAATAAGATTACAGAAGTGTCAATTACACATTTGTAGACAAGATAGACAGATACGAGTACTAACAGTTGTAACAACAAAACACTTTTGAGATTTTATCAATATACTTAACCTTGCCAAGTTAATATTAGATAACTTAAATGTAGTAAAAAGGTAAAAACTATTAACAAACTCATGTTATATCTTTTTTCACAAGACTAAACATAATCAAATTATTTTCCCAATGCTATGAGATTTTTAAACCAAAACATATTATTCTCACTAGTATATTTATAATTTTCAATATTATAATTTTTAGAGATAGGATTGTGTTTTTGTCTGATTAGGAAATCTATTGCAACTGACTGAATGACTTACGTTTATGCCATTAAAAAAATACCTTAATGCTAGTTAAATTTTTAAATAGTATATTACAAAAAAATATAAATGGGTATTATATCTATTTAACCATTCCACAGCTTCTTCTCTCAGACTATGCAAAATTTTTGTAATTTTATTTAAATTTTACTTATTTATAACTCAACGCACAACCTGATAGGTGAGACTGAATTTTTGCACCAACCGACACAATCACAGTTACACCTGTGGATGAGTAGCTCTACATATAGAGTTAAATATACCTGTCTCAAATATAAAGCTCATAACTAATATCAAAGCAGTCGCCATAACAGTACCAGCCTACTAATGTTTAATATTTGTAGCATTTATGTTTCACCAGACAAAACTCTAACTAAAAACGAATTATTTAATCTTCTCCAACAAATTGCTTTACTTCGAATAATCACGTGAGATTTTAATGTCAATATATGGGGATCAAATAAAGCAACACTGAGGAGAAATATGTTACTAAACCTTTTTGGACAGACTTGAATGTAGTTATCAGAATCAAATCGTTTTATAATGCCCCGTTGTCCGCTTTATCTCGATCGACGATGTTAAATACAATAAAATGGTGAAGTGTTGATGTAAATTATGGTTTTATTGACAGCTACCACTAATTAAACTATAGATGTTGGTTAAGTAACTTTCTATAATGGACTGCGCTCAAATGAGTTCAAATGCCCAATTTATAATCTTACGAATAATATATACCTCAGCACAGAAGTTATTGATTCTATCATAGGTACTAACAAACTTTGAGTTACGTGCAATTAGAAAAATATATTATTCGACAATTTATTAAGAGGTAAATGGACTTTAATTATTAAAATATTACTCGATATAGTTTTACAATATCTCAATAATTATACACGGTAAAACTATAAAGTTTAAGAAGTTAATAATAATGTGAGTTTACAAATTAAGTGATTTATTTGTATTTGAACACTTTTTAACACTATGCACGTATGACCACACAACGACCGCTCTCCAACAATATGGCCACGGAAACATCTTCCATTTTATATCTCTACATATGCGAACCCTCATTGCTTACCAAAATCGACTGGACAGCACAAAAATATTTATAAAGTAGTAATCACTTCCCAATCTTAATAAAACTTAACTTTAATGTAACTACAAACACAATACCTATTCACAAATGAAAACCTAAACGAATGCATCAGAATAAAATTTTGGTCTCCATAGAAGACGCACCTTGGGCTTCAATTAGCTTATACTAGATGCTGCTAATGTCGACATTAGAAAATCTGAATTTTTACGAAGAAACAAAAACCAGTTCCTTGGTGAAATACATAATGTGATGCCGCCATTAAATTAGGTAAAACAATTTAAAACCGATACCAAAGTACAAAAATATTGATCTATTATTCGTCTTCTTAAGGTGCCTTCTCCATTACTGAAGGTTATATAGACGGTCCAAAACTTCGTTACCGTGTATTTCAATATGAGATGGAACCCAGATTAATACTACGTGCTTTTTTTCCTTTGCAGCATTTTGAAGTTCTTTGTAAATGTCTTTATGAGGGTTGCCGGAGAACATGTTTTGAATGTCACAAAGGGCATTCATTGAGTCAGTTATGATTGTGTAGTTTCTCTGGTTCGTTTTGTTAATGAATTTTAGAGCTTCAAGGATTGCGTATAGTTCTGCATTAGAGATAGTCCAGTTGTTATGCAACTTAAATTTAGTATTATAAGTATTACAGAAAATGGCTCTGTCCGTTGTTTTTGATGCATCTGTGTAGATCTGTTGATAGTCGCTAAATCTATCCATAATATCTTTGAAGTGGTTTATAAATAAGGCTGGTGGGGATTCATGTTTATTAAATTTTGATAGGTCAGTGATTACTGGTGGTTTATTTACAGTCCATGGAGGAGGAGGGTTTTTGGAAGGATGGTATATTGTCGGGAATATTATGCTATATTTAAGTAATCGGTTAATTCGTTCATAGAAAGGTGGATTACATTGAGGATGAGATAAGAAGTAGTTGCTAAAATATTGCTATAAACGTTGTGGTAGACTGGGTTATCTAGAGAGGATAGAACTTTATAAGCAAACAACAATCCTAAAAAATCTCTCATAAATTCTAAAGGGATTTGCCCTGACTTACTGTATATAGTTAGTATGGGGCTTGTCCGAAAGACAGATAGATGAAATTCGCCTAACTTGAATATCATCACATCTCTGCCTGGGGATGTATGTGGAACTTCAACAAAACTTTGCTTATATCTGAAGTTTTGTTGTCATTGATAACTCGTTTCGGTCAACCTGATCGGTATCTATCTTTTACTTCTCCAGATTCCTCAAATCGCCTTACAGTTTTTTGTACCGTCGTCTTATGAATAGGAGAACGGTTTGGGAAACGGCATTTTAGAGAAGCAATCTAAATTGCAGAACTTTTTGAACCACAACTACTGTCAATTTTAGTTCATAATTTAAATGGTGAACAAATAATGTAAAAATCACAGCACTCACCATTTAAATATTTAAATTTATTAAAATCTACATATTTTGCACTGTTTTATGTATTTAAGATCTTTCAGACTACATAAAATCAAGTGAACATATGGTTGAACACGTATTAAATAGCTGAACTCATGTGAAATTCACACTGAATGCGTGAAAACCATACTTGAAGAACACAAAAATTAAATGTATGATCAGTTATAGTAGGTGCTTATTTAATTGGGCCATTTTTTATCGAAAGAAATTCAACGTCAGATAGTTGGTGTAAATGTTCGGCGTTATTTACATGCGATATTTCCCGGACGATAAATTGGTAGACAAGGTAGAATTGAATGGCCTCCACGTTCACCCGATCTCAATCCTAAAGATTATTTTTATTAGAGACACTTGAAAAATTCAGTTAAAAAAACTTAACCAGCAAGTCTTTCATAGCTAAGGCAATGAATTATCGATGAATCTCGAATTATTTTTAGACAATCATGGAAAAATGTGGTAGACGCATTCTACCATCGATTAGAGTGCTTTTTACTTTTACGTTTTAATGTATTTGAAAATAGTTAGTATTAAAAAATGTATTGAAACAATTTAGGCGTTGCCAGACTTCTGTTTTATGTATTTAAGACCTTCCAGACTACATAAAATCAAGTGTTACATATGGTTGAACTTGTATTTAATAGGAGATTCCAATAATGACTGAATATACAGGGTGATGCATTTTAAAAATCAAAGTTACTAGTAATATAAGAGAAACTGAAAATCTGGCAACATTGTAAATACCAAATATGGAATCTCCGTATCCCAAAATAGGCGTATCTCAAATTTTGTATAATTATGTCTAGTAATTTACGAGATAATTATCCGTTTCCAGACTTTTGGGCCACTCTAGATGTAGTTCATTAACGGTAAAAAGTGTTAATTGAGAATAAATTATGCCAATTTATTTATATATTGGCTATATGTGATTTCTGTGGTTTTCTGACTTTGAATTCGTGCTGTATATAAGTTGATTCTTAGATTTCATTATTTTGACGGCGTTTTGGCATGGTTATTTTTACCATATTTTGGTACCATATTTCCGTTGATCTTCCTCAATGTTATTTATAAACAATATCTTGTGTTTTTATCTAATATTCATATTACAATTATATATATTTTTTAGCTTTTGGGACAAGTGAAGAAACTTTAAAAGAATTAGATCAAAATCCTAGTAATCTAGTCGCGACTGGGCTAAATACTTCTCCAGAAAACAGATCAGTTGCTGGAGAATTGTTAAAAGAAGTATATACACACAATACAAGCTTTGCTGGAAATATGGGATATTTTGTTAGGGTAAGTCATAGTTGAATACATAAATTTACTATTACATTTAACTTTTTTCTTTATAAAATCTATCATTCTCTAGAAACAACTTTGTTTCATTCGCTATATACTGGTAGAATGTTATGTTATTTTGTACAGCTGGTTCCTGAAAGAACTCATCTGACTTTTAGTAAGATTTGATCATTTTGAGAAATGTATTTGAGCAACTATGAAATGGTTTTCTTCAGAGAGCTATTCCTAAACCTGTTGTACACCGTGACACTGCTCTTCAGCATTTTGAGGTTTAAAATTACGTCGATATAACTGTTTTTTATTAACCAAGCGTAAATTACTAAAACTATAAAACAATGAAAAGCTTCGTATTTAAGAAATATAACGAAAGAAGATAAATCTCTGATATTAAATATGATTTTAAGAGTTTAAGAAAATAAGAGTTGTGCGATAAACTTTAGGCAAAATACATGTAAATACTCTTACATGCTTTTACACTTACTAAAAGGAAGACTTACTCTTAGGGTGCCTGTTCGTTCCGAGCGTTGGCGATCATTCTGGCTATAATGACTTTGTTGATTGTTATACGAAATAGCTATGTTGAGGTCTTCATGCCAGTTCTGAGCTGACCGTTGTATAGTGGCCGAAAATAACTCAGAGCGTCGCAGCAAGACGAGTCCGCGGGAACCGAACTCGGATCCATGAAACCCAATTCGGAAGAGTTAAGCTCACTTCACCTCGCCCAGGATCGGCACGCCAGCCGTGACCTGCTTCCTCTCCAAGCCCGACACGCCCCGATCCTTAGAGCCAGTACTTATACCAAAGCTACGGATCCAATCTGCCGACTTCCCTTACCTACATTATTTTATCGACTAGAGGCTCTTCATCTTGGAGACCTGCTGCGGATATGGGTATGAACCGGCGCGAGCCTACACGTGCAACTCTCCTGGATTTTTAAGATCCGAGGGGAAGATCGGGACACCGCTGCAACTGCGGTGCTCTTCGCGTTCCAAACCATATCTCCCTGATAGAGGATTCCATAAAACTCAAACCTTTATACAGAAGAGAAGAATCTTCCCGGATCTCCCAACGGCGTCTTTAGGTCCTTTTGGGTTACCTCGATGAACTCTTTTGCGAGGGCTCGAATTTTGAGCGTATGAAAAAGTTTAATTTTTTCCGTTAACCTGATAAAGCTATTTAAAAGTAAATTTACAGATTAACATCAATTACTGTAGTAATCAATCACACATTTTATTTGTAGTATACGAGCGACCGTATGTTCACAACAGGAACATGCAAACAAGTTGAATTGGCGTCTACATCAGTGCCGTACTACTTCTACCAGTTTTCTTACAAAGGATATTTAGGAGGAGCTATGGACATGATACCAAAATTGCCACCAGGTAAAATATAATCTATATAGATAAATTCCTGTACATGATCGTCTACCAAAGTTTATATATCTATTTTTCAACAGGTTGTGAGATAGTTGTTCATGCCGAAGATCTTCACTATATGTGGGATGATGGTAGCAACAGTGACCTTAGTAAATTCCCCGAAGAAGATCGTTTAATGTTACATCAATACGTCGTTATGTGGACTAATTTCGTTAAATATTTGTAAGTATTAATTAATTTTATTTTGCGTCAACCACTTATTTAGGATTATTAGCATAAGAAAAATACAAAAAGTGATAAAGTCATACATAGGCATATACAAAATATCAAGTACATAATAAGGTATACAATATATATTTTAATTATTTATGTATTGTGTTCAATTTTATTAAATAAGTTTATAGATTTACAGAATTCTATCAAGTCAGCTACGTATTTAGATTCTCCTAGGAGTTCTTTTAATGTTTTTGGAATGTGATAATATAGTCTTTCAACTTAGTATATTGGACAGGCAATTAAAAAGTGCTTCACTGTCACTTTACATTCACAAACAAAACTCACTGGTTTGTCTTCTCATTTTAACAAGTATTCATGTGTTGTAGAAGTATGTCCTAATCGGAGACGTGGTATTAGGACTTGATGTTGTCTCTTGGAAGGCCAGAAGTTCCATGAAAGGACTGAATATTTTATTTCTATCAATTTAGTGGTACTTCTATTCCATTGGTTTTGATGAATATCGTACAATTTTACTTTTAAGTCAGATTTTAAATCTAAATGTACCATTGGATGCGGGGATAAATCTGAGAAATTGATATCAGACAACTAAGTCTATCAGATATTATAAGAGATTTGGGAAGTTTCTTTTCTAGAATTAAGGTTAGGGCCTTAATTATGGCAAAATGCTTCTGCTGTAAAAATACTTGTCTCAGGAGAATTTATAAATAAAATGTTCATGTAATATCACAAAGCATGCTGCTACTCCATTTATGGTCTTAGATGCGTCCGTGTATATAAGATGGTGATTTCTGTACTGTGTGAGAATATGAAGTAAGTGAGTTTTAAAAAAAATGGGTATCATTTTATTATTGTTAAATGCTGTAAGTTTAAGGTTACAAAGCGGAGAGGTAGCAACCCAAGAAAAACATCAATTTATATCGCAGGTATGATAAATGAGAGGCACTTCAATGGAGACTGGAGACCATGGTAGAACACTGGAGACCATGGGAAAAGAAAAGAAAAAGGGGAAGACCACAGACGAGATGGACTGACGATCTTAAGAGAACGGCAGGAGAGGACTGGATGCAGATCGCCCAAAATAGATCAGTGGAGATTAACAGGGGACGCCTATACCCAAGAGTGGGCGTTTAAGGCTGATTAGATAGATGGTTGGTTTAATATTAAAATATGATAAATATCTATCAGCTCGTTCATAGAAAGGTATAGGACCCTTATTTCTTTTTTGGTATACTTCCTGAAGCCTGTTAGCAACAGCATGATATAGAACTGAATTTTTTAAGTTAGATTTTATGTTCGAGACATACGATAGAATTAAGCATTTTCTTCTTAGGTTTAAAGGTAGTTCTCCAGCTTTACAGAGTAGACTATCCACAGTACTAGTGCAATATGCTCCAAGGGCAATTCTAACGGCTGAACTCTAAAGAGTATCCAAAGTTTTAAGCAATGCTTGGTTTGTGGAGTTATATACAACACACCCGTAGTCCAGATTTGATCTAATTTGTAAATTTATTAATTATACTTGTACTTGTACGTGTACTTGACTTAGCAATTCTAATTGCCCCATTTGTTTCGTTATTGTTAATTCCTGTAATTGTCTTCGGATGCCCGAAGTTTCCTGGGCCAGTGTGTCGGATTCTGTTCCCTTGGAAGTTTTTTCTTTTGGGATTTTTCCTGTCGTTTCCTCGTGATTTTTAAAATAGGTTCTGAGTCGTACTCTCAATTCGTCGACGGTTCCCTTGGAATCTAAGCCGAATTTTTCGGCCTCGCTTTGCAATTCCTCTTTGCAAAGTCGGTTTATCCACGACGTACCTGTTACTGAGTCTGTGTCTTTATCTGTCGGCATGTTATTAATTTTCGGTAGATTTTAGCAATTCCTCAATTTTACTCGGGCGCCAATTTGTAACGGGTAGCTCTTTCGGGACGACAGACTCAGTAAAACACAGGTTGAAATAAAAATATATCTATTAATTTAATGTATGTACAATAAAATAAAAATAAAATAAATTCTCCACCCTATAAAATAAAATAAAACGAATTCTACGTCCACGTTCTAATCCCGCGATGAAGGAATTCTTCGCCGAACGTCTATAAAAGAAAGAAAGAGTTATTATTAATTACAACAAATACAATATGTGACTTCAATCGCACGCAGACTTATGCTCGCTTCCGCTTTAATACAGCGGAAGCTTCAATCACACTCGCAAACAAAAATATTCGGCTGTGCAGGCCTACAACAAGGTTCAGTACACAATGCGGATGAGTTCCGCTTAGTTAAGGACGAAGTATGATCCTCAATGCGGAAATCTCTCAGTCCGGGTTGTCTCGCAGGTTCAATACACTTGCGAGGCGGGGAGCCTAGAGCGCTAGCTGCAAGACTGACTAATTTCGCTGCTCACATACCTTAAATAGCCGCTCCGAATCCCACTCACTTCGCCATCTCGCTGAGCAAGTGGATGCGCAAACATGACACTCCCACGGTTCAAACTGTTCAACGATGAGGACATCGTTACAAGCTATATAATTTTATTAGTGTTGAAAAATCTGCTCCCTTTTTTTTATGTGAAACAGATTTCTTAATGTTTAGTCCAGCTTGGCACGATTATCTAAGCGAGTGTATATGACTTGTCCAGCTTAATTTTGGGTCCAGTTGCAATCCTAGGAATTTTATTTCTTTTATATATTCTATAAGAAAATTGTATAAAAATATATTTGGGAGCTTTTTTGGATTTCATTTTCAAGAAAAATGTAGGTATAGCTTTTATTGTTGTGGTGGAAAACTGCAGCCCAATATTATTAGACCAAGATTTAACTGACTTAAGAGCCGCAGCAATACGATAATGAGCAGATAATAATTTTTATTTTTTGCTAGAATTACCAGATCATCAGCGTACAAAAAAGTTTTAATTGTATCATTGCAGTACGACACCATATTGTTAATACCAATTAAAAATAGCGCTACGCTTAGATTTCAGCCCTGTGGAATTCGATTTTTCTGTAATTTAAAATCAGACAAATGGTTATCGATTCGAACTTGAAAATATTGTTGCCGCAGAAAGTTTGAAATAAAAGTAAACATGTTACCGTGAATCTTCCAATTGTGGAGTATAGTTAAAATGTCATACAACCTTATTGTATCAAAAGCCTTTTTTGCATCAAAGAATATGGCTAAACATTCTTGATTGCATATAAATGCTTCGTGAATTTCTGATTCCAATGATATTAAGTAAACAAATGTTGAGCTATTTTTCCTAAATCCGCTTTGTTTTAGTATAATAAGATCTTTATGTTCAATATACCACATGAGTAGATCGTTAATGACCTTTTCTAGTAACTTACACATTGCATCCGTGAGAGAATGATCTGTAGGATTCTGCTTCAAATTTAGATTTACCTGGTTTGTATATTGAAACTATGATTAAAGAGTGCCATATTTGTGGGAGTACCTTATTGATCCATATAAAATTGAAAAGTTGCAATAATAGGTCTTGGTCTACTAGTGGTAAATTCTTTAGACAAAGCACAGGTATGTTATCTGGTCCTGGACTAGTATTTCTACCGGAGTTAAGAGTTTCAATAAGTTCAGTAAAGCTTATAGGATTGTTTATTGGTTAATTGTCATTGATTAATGGTATTACTTTATTTTCTTCAAATCCTTTCCTACTTAAGAATTCTATTGATCTGCTTTCATCACTAGAAGCGGCACAATATTGATTTGACAATATTTCAGATATATTGCATCAGACGTAAATCTCTGATTGTATTTTGTTAATTACTTTATAGACTGATGAGAAAATAAAAATATTGATGATTCGTTCATAATATTATGTTTTTTTTTTGTTTCTTTTAGAAATCCCACACCAATAGAAGTTCCATTGTTAAATAATTTTATCTGGTTACCTTCGGAGCCCAAAACTCTTCGATATATGAACATTAACACAACATTTGAAATGCTCGAACAGCCAAGACAATATCCTCAAGTAAAGCAGATATTAGAGGAATATATGGAACCACCTTACAATGTTTTTGGATGAAAATGATGATTTACTACATATATTAAAATATTTTTAAATTCAATTTTCTTTATTTTAATTGTATGATAAAAGATAATAAAGTATTTTATATCACTATATTGTTTCACTGAGAGTTATATCCCGCATAGTTTTATCCTCTCTCGTTTGTGTGTCTCTATTTTTAGTCAAATATCTGTTCTTATTCTCATTTGTGTTAGTGCATAATGATCCAACGGTAGCTATTACAATAGAAAATATTTCACAGTTTTCTGGCATATAAAATTTCATATTTCTGTCAAATTTTAAATGGTTGGAAGCCAATAAGTCTTTTCTTTCTACATCACCTTGACTTTCTATATTTCATTTGAAGAACATCTTAAGTTTCTTGTCAAAACGCAGTTTGTTGGAGTCGCTAGTTTGTTCCGAAATAAGGGCGTGAATATTTCTTACAAAACCGCTGAAATAGGTGTGTCAACATTATAAGACTAAATATTGCATGGCTTATTCAGTAGCTTCGCATTAATCTTACTAAGAATTATCTCTTGGCTACCGTTGAATTAACGTTTTGTTGTATATTATTTAACCAATTCATATATATTAATTGGTTTTAAAACGTCTTGCGACGTTGTCCGATGCCTAATTTCCATGACACTCTATTATCCCATTGGCCCTCTCTAAGATTTCTTGCGCTCATCGCCTTCGTTACTTCCTCTTTCCAAGATTTCTTGGGTCTTTCTCTCTTTCTGCGGTTTGGTGGTACCCATTGTATAATTATTTTTGGGAGTCTTGATTTATCCATCCTCTGGACGTCAACCCCCATTCGCTGTCATATCTCATCATTACGTATTCTTTCTTTGCATGACACTTACCGTGACTCTTAACCAATTTTAATTCTGTTTAAGTTGTACCTTTGTCTGAGGAAGATTAAATTTCTTTAATATTGTAGCAGAATTTTCAACTAGGTTGGAATTTCTCACTCCTTGGTAGTTCCACTTTCAATCTGTTTCATGCTGCTGAACTGTAAATTTCTTCATTTGACCTGACATTCTTTTTTTTTTTTGGCATAGACTTTAAGTCATTCAGTTAGACTCAACATGGTAAAATAGTTGTCTGAGTTTATATTAATAAATATACAAAACAAAAAACAGGTAAACAGGGTCACTCTCTTCTCGCCTATGGGCCCATCAAGGCATTTTTTTTAAATACATACAACACTAGGCCACGGTAAGAAGGGAATTTGACAATTGGGTTAGAAACAAAGATTACGTTATTACCTAATGCACAATTATTTACATGGTTATTTTACTATCCTTTATAAACGTAACAAAGGAATCATACACTGCTCTCGAGTCTAGTGATAATAAGTACTGAAGGTTCCAAGGGGCTAATATATTGTGTTTATGTAAGTTATTTATTAATCTGGATGAAATTATAGTATTTCTGGGGCAACTGAAAAATATATGATCTAGGTTTTCTTCTTTTGTACAAAAGTCACATCGATCATTATCTAAAACCTTGAGTTTAAATAAATGTTTGGGGTAACAAGCATGTCCAAATCTCAGTCTAATGATCGTGGTAACATATTTTCTAGTTACATTAAAAGACTTATACCAAGGTGTTTTAGGAATATCTGCTTGCAGAGAAGTGTACCTATTTGGGCTAATAATGGAATATTCCTTCCATATATTATTCCACCTTTGGTATAATCTTAATTTTAAGGAAGGCAGAAAGTCGCAAGCCGTGATTTTATATTAAGTTTCTCTACCAGATAAAATACTTTCTTTTGCTAATTAGTCCACATGTTCATTATTTTCCAAACCTATATGTCCTTTAATCCAAAGAGAGAGCACATTTTTGCCCCTTGTTACTAACTTTTGTTTGATATCCTTAATTTTGTAAATATAAGGGCAACTGTACGTATTTGGCAATCCTGGTTTCCCAATAGAGGTCAAAACTGATAAAGAATTTGATAATATCACTATGTGATCCGAGCTACTTTCTGTTGCATAAAGTAAGCCCTCATATATAGCAAGAGCTTCCGCTGTAAAAATAGAGGTCTGGGAGTTTAACTTAAATGCCATGTCATTCTTACAAGTGGTCTTTTTGATTTTTACCTTTGTTGTTAGATCTTTATTGTTGGATTGCATTGGTAGCATTGGGTTGTTTTGACAACTTTCATATTATGCTTTTAGTGCCGCGGACCTTCTTGTTTCTGGTAGGGCAATACTGCACAAGACTAGAAACCCAGCTATTTGTGATGGTCTTATAGTGCCAAATATTTGTCTCATCTCTATCATCGCTATTGAACATATCTTCAATGGCGATGGAACTGGTGTGTCATTTACAAATTAATGCCAGACAAAACTTTTAATTTCAAAAATCAAAAATTTGTCGGTGGAAAGCTTTCAAAACAAAAACTCACGGCCTTTGTTTGTGAAAACATGACAGGTACAGAAAAAAAACCTTTTGGTTATTGGAAAAACTTTACGTCCTAGATGTTTCAAAAATAAAAAATCACTACCTGTAAACTATACAGCCAACAAAAAAACGTGGATGACTTTTGCTGTTTTTGAAGAAGAACTGAGAAAGTGTAATAAGGAACTCTCTTCATAAAAAGAAAAAATTCTTCTTTTAGTTAACAACTGTGTAGCCCATTTCAAGCTTAATTTGACCAATATCAACTCTTAGCAACCAACTGCACGAGGGTGTCGCAGTCGTCTCGCAGTCATATTGACCAAGGAGTCATAAGAAGTTTAAAGAGTTTATCGTAAACAGTTTTTGAAAATAATAATTTTTATACGGACAAAAGAGAACCCGTTAACATTACTATCATTAATGCAGTTTAGTTTTAAGACAATGCATGGAGTACGATTACGTCAGTGACAATTTGTAAGTGCTTTCGTCAAGCTCAATTGACTGTAGTTTCTCCCGAAATACAGGATGTTGATGAAGATGACGAAATGTCTTTGTCAAAGTGGATACCAAAATTTAATGTAATCCAGAGAAGGTTTTAAACTGATCTTGACTAATATATTCCAGTAGACGATCAGGTAGAAACATTTTAAGTTTTAAGTAATAAAGAAATTGTAGAACAAGTGCAAAATGTAAAGATAAATGTTAATGAAGATAATGAAGAAGAAGAAGAAGACGGCGTTGATTGTCCTACAATCCAAGAAGCAACGAGAACTACCGAGACCATATTTAGGTTTTACCAGTTCAGAAAAGCATCCACAACTACCAAAGAAGCAGCTCAGATTATTAAGGACACTACAGAAAACTTTATATTTATTTTTTTAGACTTTTTTAGCTAGAGAACTTTTTCATAAAAAATCTAAGTTTTATATAGATGATATGTTTTATTTCTCAATTATTTTCACCTAAATGCAGCTGTAATAAAATGTTCCCTCATTAAAATGTCATTTTTTCTACTTTTTTCATAGCGTCATTCTGGTATAGCGTCGTTTTTTTACTGGACCCTTCAATGACGCTGTAACCAATTACCGCTGTATAAACTTAATAAAATGTTTAAAATAACAAGTTATATTAAAAAAGTGAAACTGTAGGTGGTACTGTAAATTTTAAAAAATTTGTATTAAAAATAGAATAAATAATGGTTTTATTATCAAATTATCAATGAAATATAACCAAACACTTGAAAAAATGGCTTATCTAGTACAATTTCTTAGTTATACCAAATGATTAAATGATTACCTGGATTACTTAAATGATTAAAACTATTTTTAGTGATTTTACACTGTCACTAAAACTATCATACAATTTTTTTTACTCAATACCTTATATAAACACATGATTTAAAACTAGAATACCTTAATACTTTATAGTAAGTAAAAAGAAAAATAGTTTACTTCTAATTAAGAAAAATATGAAGTTTGTTCTTGTAACAAGTCTGTTTTGTGTCTTTCTCAAAGTACAAGCTTCCGCTGATGATGGCACCTTAGTTCAAACTGAAAGGGGTATGATTAGAGGGCATATTCTCAAAAGTGAAAATGGAAACAATTATTATGCTTTTCAAGAAATACCATATGCTGCTCCCCCAGTTGGAGAAAATAGATTTCAAGTGAGTAAAAAATATATAATCATCATCATCATTCTCATCGTATTCATTAACTTTGTTTATTAATTGCTGTAAACTTTTTAAACTGTGCAAAAACTAACGACGTCATCTGCATAACGGATGTTGTTTAGGGGTTCTCCATTTAAAAGGAAAAGTTCTCAAGTTCGCAATTTTCCAAGGCTGCAATAAATATTTCCTCTGAATATAGGTTGAATAATCTAAGTGAAAGTACAGATCCTTGTCTAAGGCCTCGCAGAATCTGAAACGCTTCCGTCCGTTTATCTTCAAGATTTGTTCTTATTGTGGCTGATTGGTTCCAGTTTAAGTTTTGTATTATACGCTGGTCTTTATCATCTATTTAAGCTTTTGCGATATCCATCATTTTTCGATGTTGAACTGTGTCAAATGCTTTTTGGTAGTCTACAAAGCAGGTGTAGATATTCCAGTATTAAATTTCTTAAAGACAATTACGCCGATAAAACTTTAAGACGTAAACTAGAAATTCAAATGATCTTCACCACCAAGTTCTGTGCAAAATTAATGAAATTAGTAAACGATTAGGAAGGAGCCAGAACAGAACAGAAGTATAGAACAAATTAGAGAAATTAAAATTGTCACTTGAACACCATCGCCAAGATTATTTTGATGTAAAAACATCTCGATTGCTGACTGAAAACAAAGAAATTGACGCTACATTGAAGAAAATGTTTATGAAAGCGCAAACGAAATAGCCTTTAATAAACTAACTTTAATATGCCTTTAAAGAACACAAACAATTATTTAACCAATGTATAGCTGCAAGTTTTACTGTGAACCCGAGTACATAGATAGATATAATTATATACTTGTATAATGTTAGTGTTCATCGGTAACGTATTTATTTGTAATAAGAGGATTCTATCGTGCACTGATATGAAATTGTTGACATGTTTGGCTATACTTTTATGTATGATATTTCCGACTCCATTTTCATATTTACCATTCTTTTATCTTGAATAGTTTACTCTGTATTCTTCTATGTCACGATAACTTAAGTTAGGCCACCCCAATTCGCTTGTGCCCATTATTGCTATTTACGTGGGTTCCATTAAAATTATAAAAAAGTAAATAAACACATTATTAATTAAATGATAGCGGATGAAGATAACCTGGTCATTATAGCAGATGGCATGACAGTTATTAAAGCAATTGAATTATTAAATATTTTCTGCCCTTTATTAATATTGTATAAATTCATAATTTTTTTCAATATGAAGCATAATAATTTATTGTTTCTAGAATCCCAAACCTCCAAATGCTTGGCCTGGAATTTTGGATACAACAAAAAATACCAAAGTTTGCTACCAGACTGTTGTTAAGTATAGTAACCTAGAAATTAGCGAAGACTGCCTATATGTCAACGTGTACACCCCTCAAAAACCTGGATCTGCCGATCTTCTACCCGTGTTACTCTGGATACATGGTGGAGCATTCCAAAACGAATCCAGTACTTATGAGTTTTACGGTCCGAAGTATATTATGGATCATGGCGTTGTTGTGGTTACTTTTAACTACAGATTGGGACCATTTGGTAATTACATTTTTTCATATGTTTCTATCTAGTAAGGCATCAATGTCAATTATTGCTTTTACAGAGATACAATACATAAGCGTCAATTGTCTCATCATCTCGTCAATTTTTTCATCCTGTCCTATCCATTTAAGAATTTGTAACTTATTTGATATATCTGATATTGAGTCCGCACTTTGAGCTTTTCCCCACTGATTTCTTAATATTGTCTTTGGTATGTCATCTCTCTTAATTTGTTCAATAAGACCATTTCAACTTAAAAGTTTTTATAGAATATTTATAAAAGTAATGTCAGGTTTTTTATACGTTGTGTAAATTTCAAAATATACCATCTTTGTCATAAAATATTGTCTTTTACTACTCTATAGATATGCTTTTTCTTCTTTTTTTATGTAGACATGACTGTGGTTGTTTTTCAATAAGCCTTCAGTAAGTTGTCGTTCCATCGATTTCGTGGTCTTCTTACTGATCGTTTTGGTATTGGAGAAACGTCTTTTGTCGTCTTTACCACTCTGTTTTTTGTCATTCGGGTTATATGATCGTTTTATTCTACTCATCTATTTCTTACTAAGTCCTTAGTATTTTATACCTTGCATCTACGTCTTATATCTATACTTCTAGCTCTGTCCCATGGTGTTTTACCCTTAATTTTTCTAGGTGTATTGTCAAACAACAGCAGTTAGCTATTCGTAGGTATAGTAAAAAATAGCACGATGGTTTTTATGAAGAAAATTATTATTTGGTGGGATAACAGACTCGATTCTGAACGATGAGTTCACAAGACGAGTCATATTTTCTGGTGTAATAACTCTAAAAGTATTTTCTTCAGCTCTACTTCTGCTCAGTAATGGCTTCTATCACTTCTCTCCTTTTACTTGGGTTTCGACGTAATACTAACATTTTCGGCCTTGATCATAGATTTTCCATTATATTTTTATCGGGACTATTTTCAGGATAAAGTAGGACAGCAACGGCAGGGTTTCTTAACCTTTCAGTGGCAGTCTTAGCCGTATGACAGGGCGCTTTATTCTATTGGAAGATGCATTTTTGATAATCCTTTTTAAATAAATCTCTGATAGTAGTCGTCGACAACAGCTTGGCTTTCTTGTATTTTTTTGCATTATTTTTGCCCTTCATTTACGCCAAACATCACATTCCATTGATGGTCATACTAGCCCATACCACTTATAAGGTGCTTCACAGTGAACGTAAAACTCTGGAGCAAACAGTCGTTCCATGATCGGCGGTGAACAAACTTCGCTTCATCACATCTTAAAGATCAAGAATTCTAGTTTTATCAATCCAAAATCTTCCCACTTTATTGTTTTTCTGTCAATCAATGAGATTTGTCGTTGGTTTTTGTTTAGTACCGGCTTTTTCTATAATTTTTTACGTAATTTTCTTCTGATAGTGCAGTCTGATATTTGTAAACCAGTTGGTGGGATAATATGATTAATGTCTGTTGCGGATCTGCAACGGTCTTCTTCTAATAAAGGTATGATAACGTTTATAAACTTTAATTAAACCTGATTTTGTGGCGCTTTTACACAATTTGTTGGCTGATATGTGAAATCTTCTTTACTCCTTCCTTTGGCTCTAATTCCTGAAAAACTGTCAACACGTTTTGAGTTTCTGGAAACCATTTTCTTCGAATCGTCATTAATGTTTTCCTCTTCGGCAATTCAAAAACTTTCACCTTATTAACAACTGCCTAAAGAAAAGAAAACTTATGGTTATAAGTAAGATGGGTAAAGTCATAACAAGGATAAGTACCTGGGAGTCTGGTCTTAACAATAACAATATCTTAAAAACAGGAAATACTTTCTCAAGGGTATTTACAGTAACGAAAGGCTTGAGACAAGGATGTTGTCTTTTCCCCACCCTATTTAAAATATATATCCAAGAAGCAGTGCACCAGTAGAGACAAAAATGTGCGGGAATGGGGTTGAAGCTTAACAACCATTATCTGACAACGCTGTTCTTTGCAGATGATCAAGTACTAATTGCAACCTGTAAAGAAGATGCAGATTATATGCTTAGAAAGCTCAAAGATGAATACGAAAAATGGAGGATAAGTATGAATATGTCAAAAACAGAATATATGCGAATAGGCAGTAAAGACGAAGACCCAGATTTGGAAATTAGACAAATGAAAAGGTGCTACTAATACAAATATCTGGGAAGTATTATCTGCAGTAAAGGAACAACGGAACGAGATATAGATTATGGAGTGCAACAAGGCAGGAAGAGTGATCAAATTCTGAATTCGATACTTTGGTCCAACAAAGCTACTATGAGAACTAAAATGACTATCTACAAAGTAATTGTAGAGCCCATTTTTACATATGGAGCAGAATGTTGGCAAATGACAGAAAATGGAAAGAAAAAAGTCAACACGGTTGAAATGGACTACCTGAGAAGAGCTTCCCGTATATCAAGAGTAGAACGTATACCTAATTCTAAAATTAGAAGAAAAACAGATAGAGTACATACAACTTCTAAAAGAATAGAAACTAGACAGTTAATATGGTATGGACACGTACAGATAATGGACGACAACAGATGGCCAAAAAGAGCTATGGAGTACAATCCCAGTAATAGAAGGAAACGAGGAAGACCAGCCAAGTCTTGGATACAAGGTGTTATGGAAACCATGAAAGACAGAGCCATTGATAAAGACACCTGGAGAGATAGAAAAAGATGGCGATCGAAATACGGGAAGCGGCAGAAGCTGTAGGATCCCCGCTTTCGCGATTCCAGTTAGACGAATAAATCATGCTACTCATCGTTGACTCACTAACAAAACTCTGACGCAATACCGTATCGCCAGTGTTGCCGCACTCGGCACAGTGTCACAAATCTCGAATTTTTTGGAACGTTTCCGGAATTTTGGCCACAAGTGCATATGAGTTGTTCACAATCTGTGTTCTTTTTTTTTTCTTCGTTGGTATTGTTGTCTGCAAGTGAACGAGTCTACGATGTCTGTTATAAACTTTTTGTGCCCTATTTTAAAAGTTATAATATTGTATTTTTTGTTAATTATGTTTTGAAGATGTCTCAATCCTGCTGATATGCTTAGAAGAATGTATTTCGTACCATAACTCTGCTGCTGCTTGTTAAGCAATCGACTAGTATCTAACTATCTATTCTGCGTATGATTGTAAATACAGTATTTAACAGTATATTGTAGGTTATTTTCAGCAACGTACTTGCCAGTTGATTTTAACGTTGAAGTGTAGTATATTGATAAAATTTTTAGGATTTGTTGGTACCCAGGACGGCGTGGTTCCTCTTAATCTCGGTTTAAAAGACCAGCGATTTGCTATAGAATGGGTTAACAGAAATATTCATCTATTTGGTGGAAATCCAGAACATGTAGTGCTAGTTGGTGAAAGTGCTGGATCCAGGTCTGTCGGATATCATCTAATGGGGCCATGGGAGGGAGAAAAACGTAAGTGTGTATGGCTAATAGGTATAAAAAATATAAATAATTTAAATCTAATACTTCAATTATATCTTATTAACACAAGGACATAAATAAAGGAAAAACTATTTACTGTTTTTTAAGGTATTCCGTTTTTAAGATACTTAAGTACATTTTAATCTTCAAATAAATCAATCGTCGAGGTAGCTTGTCTAGTCAGATCTGTTGGTTGATCTCGTTACATTATTAGGATTCAATGGTGAAAGATTGGCTGTTCAAAGGATGTTTCAGAAAGCGCCATTGACATTTTATTTTGCCCTTATGATATCACTTGTAAAAAGACTTCTTCCATGCTCCCCCGAACTAAAATTTGATATAGAGACGGGCAAAAAATGGATTGAGCATTGAAGAAAGCAACAAAAGGAGATTATTTGTGTTTTCTGACCTAATTCAATACTGACGTTAAAATTTCGAGCATTTTTAAATCAATTTATACAAACTTAGACTTAAACAGTTCCCTCATATTCAAATTTTGTTGTTGTAATGATTATATCCCTCTTTTTTTAGAGCTTTTTCATGGAGTTATTATGCAAAGTGCGTCACCAATTTCAGGAGGTAGAACGCAGGATTTAGGCACCACAACAGAAACTGCCTTGGAATTGGGTAGAAGGGTAAATCCGTCGTTTGATTCTAACGATACTAAACAACTTCTGCATGTACTGCAAAACGCTGATGCCAAAGATATAATTTATGTAAGTTTATCATATTTTCGGTACCAGTTTATTGTATATAAAGGAAAATTAATTATAAATTTACCTTAAAATCAAAGATAATCGAGTAAGATAGGACGTAAAATACTTTTCCTAATATTTAAAATTACATATAACAGCACATCTTGAAACATTTTAGTCCGGTATAGCTGGCGGCCTTGCTGTTGAAGATTCCGGTCCATTTTCATACCCAGGTTTTCAAGCGTTTTTGGATGGAAACTACAAAAAGGTTCCTGTTTTAATTGGATTTAATTCAGAGGAATGGGGCTTCATAGGTAATTAAAATTTACATATATGCTACAATATTATTATCACTTTCTAGTTAATAAAGTGGCAGTTATTTTTTTAATCCATTTGTTTACCTACTCTAAGTGGCTTTTTTTATAAATTTAGGCTTTTTGCTTAAAAATTAATAATATTAACAACTGTGAATCAAATCTAAAGAATAAGATTATAAAGTTCTAATTAAAAAGGTACAGGTATTAACCGCCTAACAGTTGTAAAATAAAATATTTTTGAGACTCAATTAATGTACTTAACCTTGCTTATATAGTTATTATCAGGTAACTTTATTAACTGATAAAATTATTTTTCTAAAGTTACATATATTTAAGTAAAAACAAACTTAATGACACTAAATTCTGTGAAACGAAAATAGAACCTATTGTAATATTTATTCAGTACTAAAGAGAAGATAATTCGAAAAAATATTTTAATGAATTATGCATTTCATTGAGAGATGAAATTCGCCCAAACAGAATTTAGAGCAAACTGAAAGAAGGACAGCGATTCAAGGACTGCGTGACCTACTGCAGCTTTCTGCAATCCTGATATGAACTACGTGTATTAGAAATGAAACGCGTAAAGTGCTGGAATCGAGATAAACAAATAAATTACTTCTTGCATAAACAAAGTTTATGCAAGAAGTAATTTATTCCTTCCTTAATGTCTTTTTGTGACAATTTTTTGTGTTTTTTCTCTAATGTCCAAAGATACAGCTTGATATAATTACTACATATTTTTTAGCTTTCGAAACCAGCGAACAAACTTTGGAGGAATTAGATCTAAATCCTAGTAAACTGGTCGTGAATGGGCTCAATACTTCTCCAGAAAACAGACCAATCGCTGGAGAATTGTTAAAAGAAGTATATACACATAATACAAGCTTTGCAGGAAATATGGGCTATTTCGTAAGGGTAAGTCATCATCATCATTATCATTCAATCTTAGATTATCCACTGCTGGACATAGATCTCCCTCATAATTTTCCATCTATTTCGATCTTGTGCCTCTTGCATCCAATTCCTATGACAACGTTTTAGATCGTCAGTCCAACGTATTTGTGGACGACCTCTGATTCGGTGGGCATCACCTCTTGGTCTCTATTTCAGTATCCCCTTTGTCTATCTATTATCTGTCATTCGAGCCACGTGACCTGCCCAGTTCCATTTTAGTCTTGCTATTCTGTCTACTGCCTCAGCCATTCCTGATCTTTGTCGTAGCTGGCGCTTTGGGATCTTGTAGTGAAACGCCCAACATTGCACGCTCCATCGCCCTTTGACACACACGGATCTTTTGAACTGTTCTTTTTGTTCAGTTTGCCGAAAGCTGCCCAAGTCAGTCTTATACGACAGAGAAGTCAGGCCATGGAGTGGAGTGTCAACTTTGTAAAAATGGCGTGCACCCTATTCTTTATGCTATGGTATGCTGGACGAGCCATACAGTCTGTAGTCAACACCCCGAGATATGAGCGGGAACACAAAGTGAATTAATACTCATACGCTTATGAAACGCACCTGGCGGATTACATCTTACTCTTTTTCAACTTGTCTTGAGTGAAATGTCTTTAATATTTTCTATCAGCCTCTCTTAGCTAACTCTTGTTTCTTCCGACCCAGAATGGCGATTAGGTTTTCGAAGGCAGACGGGTCACTATATTTTCTTCTACTACAACTTTAAAACTCGCCAACACGCTTTGTCAGCGCGGCGTTTCAAGGGCAAATTTCCCCTCATGATGGATACATCAAGGGTAAGTCATAGTTAAATATATTATTAATTTACTATTATATTTAAAAGTGTACTAATCATTACTGTAGTAATAAATTACACATTTTATTTGTAGTATAGTAGTGATACCATGTTCACCACATCAACATGTAAACAAGTTGAATTAGCATCAACGGTAGTGCCTTACTACTTCTACCAGTTTTCCTACAAAGGATATTTAGGACAAGCTATGGACATGGTACCAAAATTTCCACCAGGTAAAACACAGAATTTATTAAACTAAATCAATGTACATTATCCTATGCTAAAGTTTATGTATCTAATTTTCTTTTACAGGTTGTGAGAAGGTTGTTCATTCTGAAGATCTGCACTACATGTGGGATAATGGTAACAACAGTGACCTTAGTAAATTCCCCGAAGAAGATCGTTTAATGTTACACCAATACGTTGTTTTGTGGACCAATTTCGTAAAATATTTGTAAGTAAAAGACCAAAATATTAACAGCGTTTTTGAAGCATTTTGTGTTGTGGACAAATCCACTATTTTTCTATGTCACATTTTTTCTACTGTTCTTTTTATCTCCTGGTAACTGCTTATTATTAATTTTTAACCTGAATTAAGCATCACAAGTATCAAACTGAAAGTCCAAATGGATTAAAATAACGACAAACCAGGAAAGATAAATGTCTTATTCTTCTTCTTCCTCTTTATAAGTAATTCTGCTTGTTCATTGGCGAATTTATACCTCTATGAAAAGTTGTCACTCCATATAGTACTCTTATTTCTGCTGTTAGTAGCCAGTAGCCCTTGCGTTTTATCTGTGTCGGGTCTTGTTTCTGAGGCATATGCCAATATTGGTCTTACACTGTCTTTATAAACTCTTGATTTCATCTCAGTATTAATGTGTCAATTTCGCCATATAGTGTTATTAAGGCAACCTGTCAGTCTATTTGCTTTTTGTACCTCATCTCTCACTTCTTTGTCCAGGTCTCTCTAGCTAGTTAGTGTAATTCCTAGGTATTTTACTTTCAATTCTTGTTCAATACTGATGCCATCTATTTCTATTATACATCTGGTTTGTTCTTTGCTAACTACTTTTGTTTTAGTGCAGTTTTGTTAAGATTAATATGTTGAAATAAATGATTTGCCAAAGATATTGTCTTGGCTAACGGAGTAAACCTCAATAGAAAATCTTGGTCCTTCTGGTAGGGTCTGTTGCTCTACCTCTCTACAAAAGCTTATTGCAAAAATTCCAAAATCCAGCCTCGAAACACTGAGATAAAAAAATTAAGACGACAGAAAACAAATAAGGACTTTAAGTATTAACAAATGGAATACCCAAGGGTGGAGAACCAAATCGGACAAAATTATAGCAGAACTTAAAAAAAATCATTCTGAAGCTATTTTCTTGTGGTACATTAATGCAAATTACTGCTTTTTGTGGAATAAGCCACAATTTTATTTTAATATTAAGTTTATTTGACGTTTATTTAAGATAAGTCAAATAGACTGTCAACAAAAATAGCAACTTCAAGTAAAATTAGATATCGGAGTTTATACTGAAACAAAGGAAAAAAGGCCAAGGCAGCGAAAATGTAGGAGGTTTTATACAAATTATTTATAGTGCAGTAGAAAAAGCAACAGGTAGCGAAAAAATATGGAGAATAGAGACTAATAAGTCTAATGAGCCATACACTAAAACTTTTTCTTAACATTATACATCGCAGAGTATACAGCTATGCGAAGAGAGAATATAAGACACACAGTTTGGATTTATAAAAGGTGTAGGTACGAGAGATGCACTCAGTATAGAGGTATTATTCCAAAGATGCAGAGATACGACCTTCGATATTTACACCTGCTTTATGGACTACCAAAAAGCATTTGACACAGTCCATTACCGAAAAATAATAGATGTTCTAACAAAAGCCCAAATATTTGATAAATACCAGCGTATAATACAAAATTATACTGGAACACGTCAGCCACAATAAGAACAAAGCGATCCAGATTCTGCGAGGCGTTAGACAAGGATGTATACTTTCACCTATATGATTCAAACTATATTCAGAGGAAATATTTAATGAAGCCTTGGAAAATTGCGAACATCTAATCCTTTTAAATTTAGAACGCCTAAACAACATCCGCTATGCAGGTGATACCGTTATTATTGCAGACAATTTAAATAGTTTGGAGCAACTAATAAACAAAGTAAATGAAGTAAGTGAAAGATTCGGACTACAAGTAAACATATCAAACACCAAATTTATGGTCATCAGCAAAAATAAAATTAGAGAGGTCCAACTGCTTATCAAGAATACACCAGTGGACCGAGTAAAACAGTTTACCTATCTTAGAACAATAGTAAACGAACAATGGAATCATTTACAACAAGTAAAATTTAGAATAGAGAAGGCTTGAAGCGCATTTAACAACATGACCAAACTCTTTAAAAGCCACAACCTTAATCTAGTGATAAAAGTAAGGCTCCTACGATATTATATCTTCTCGATATTATACTACGAACTTGAATGCTTTACACTCATTAATGTGATAAAGAAAAAACTTGAAGCCTTAAAGATGTGGCATAAAATGAGGAAAGAAAGAGAAGTGATGTATACGATTAAAAAGAGAAAGTTAGAATATCTTGGACACATAATGAGAAACAGCACTATGTAAAGATTACTAAACATTTTTCTTCAAGGTTAAGTATTCCGAAAGCGAAGAATTGGGACAAGAAGAATATCATGGTTAAAAAACCTGACAAGAACTAATATATTTAAAGCATCAGTTAATAAAGTAATTATAGCCAGAATGATTTCCAATATTCGAAATGAATAGGGATCAAAAGAAGAAGAACAGAAATACAAGGGAGCACAAGCAGGGGTATTAAAACTGATACAAAAAGCCAAAATAAAACCTGACAAACTGGGAGCAAATCAATGAAAGAATTTGTAGAATTGTATAATTATCTTGGGTCACCTCTATTAAAAGTTGTTCAAATTGTAGGTATCGTGTGTTTTTTTTTAATTTTTGATGAACTTTAGGAATGAACGTTTTCACAGGGAGGCAATCTACGAAAATCAGATCTTAAATAAGAAGGCGAAAATTAAGGAAGCTTCATTTCTCTTCTTGTGGTGGTCATCCATGAAAAACAACTGGTTGCTTTATGTTCGAAACTTCTATATAAATTAACAGAAATGGAGGAATTAAAGTATCTCAATCTTTTTAATTATCAGGGAAAAACATTGAAAGGTATTGACAAACAGTTCTATTATGTCTTTCGATTCTTCCACCTTCATGCCATAATTTTGATTGAAAATTTTGTACTTGATTAAAATGTAACTCTTGAGGAACTCGAAGTCTTCATACGACGTATGTTATGAATGCTTCTGCTACTGTAGTCGCTTCTTGATTAAAAATGGGTACAGTTTTAAGCCATTTTGAAAAAAAAGTCCATTGCGACCATCAAAATATTCTGTCATCGGAACTCTACCAAAAATATTCACTGTAAATACAATAAAACACAAGAAGCAAATGAGCTGTGTCATTAAAATCGTGCAAATCAATAATGTTTAAAGACATAAGCGAATTATTTGTAGTTTTTACTTTGATTTTTTTTTTACTTGTATCACTTTTGTACTATGTGAAATTATCAGGATATTTTTAGGATTTATATTATCGTTATCAACGATCCTTATCAAATCAATATCAAATTTATTAATTTATTTTTCTAGAAATTTTAGAGTATTTGTGTAATTTATTTAGATAATCTTTCTGTATTATTTAGGTAGTAATTTTAGAATTGCCTTTTATTATATTTATACTTTTTCAGCAATCCCACGCCTGTACAAGATCCTTTGTTAAATAATTTCATCTGGTTACCTTCAGAGCCCAAAACTCTTCGATATATGAACATCAACACAACATTTGAAATGCTTGAACAGCCAAGACAATATCCTCAAGTAAAGCAGATATTAGAGAAGTACATGGAACCACCTTACAATATATTTTCTTAAAAATTACATGTGGTAATATTTAAAACAATTGTAAATATAGTTTTTATTGTATTGACTGTATGAAAATTAACAGTAAAATATTTTGTATCTTATACAATGTTTTAGAGGAATAACCATATCTCGTATCACTTTATCATCGTTCGTTTCTCCTGTTCTCTTTTTCAGTCAGATATCTTTTTTTTATCCTATTTATGTGGCATTGTAGTGGTGTTGTGCTTACAATCAAAAGTGTGTTTTCGTGTCTTGTTACATGTCAGTTTCAATGACACGGAAAAAGTTCCTTTGCTGTAAGCGAAAGAGTTTATGTTCTTTTTACATACTGTCGACCTTCTTTATTTCGTTTGAGAGTCACTTATTTGCTACCATTAGGCGTCCAAAACAAAATATTATATTGCTTTACATATACAGTAAACTGTAAGTTTCGCTACCTCGGGACTGGACACTAGGCCGAACTTAAAAGTGACGGAACTAACCGATGCATATCTAAGAAATGTGAATTTATTGTTTGTTAGGATATACCATAGTAGTCACATTACGAACCAAATTAAAACTGGTTAAAAAACCCACACAAAGTAGAATTGATATTGATGGGAAAATATAAAAGTAGCAATAATTAAAACAGCAAATGAAAACTTAAAACCAAAGAATAAAAAACATAAAGATTGGATGACTGAAGAAATACTAATATTAATGAATGAAAGAAAATCATTCAAAACAAAAAATCCAATTAAATATAATGAAACTGATCGATTAATAAAAAAGAGAATAAAAGAAGCTAAGGAGAGAGTGTTACATGAGCAGTGCCAAGAACTAGAAGAAATTGAGAAAAAATATGACTTTTTTAACATGCATAAAAGAATTAGAGAATTAACAGGAATGAGAAAAACACTTCAAACTAGACAACTAAGAGATGAAAGGGGTGCACTTATAACAGATATGAACCAAAAAATGCAGACGTGGACACAATATATAGCACAACTTTTTGAAGACAAAGAGAGAACAGAAGCACCAAAAGAATTTAAGGATGATACTGGGCCTGACATTATACGAGAAGAAATTGAATATGCAATGAAACAAGCTAAAGGTGGTAAATCTCCCGGGCCTGATGAAGTTCCTATCGAATTACTTAAAATTGTGAATACTGAATCTATTGATCTTCTTTTGGATCTATTCAATACCATATATAGAACAGATATAATACCTAAAGAATGGCTCTAATCAACATTCATACTGCTTCCCAAAAAAGCCAATGCAAAGGAGTGCAATGAAAATCGCACCATAGCCTTAATGAGTCATGTCTTGAAATTGTTTTTAAAAGTATTTAACGATAGAATACATAAGATATTAGATGAAGGCATAAGTAATACACAAATGGGATTTAGGAAAGGACTGGGAACACGAGATGCACTGTTTGCAGTAAGTCTTATTTCGCAGAGATGCTTAGATATTAATCAGGAAGTATATGCCTGTTTTATTGATTTTAAGACGGCATTTAACAGAGTGCAGGATAATCGACTTAAATAAATTTTATTAAATAAAAACATAGACAGTAGAGACATTAGAATCATTTGTAACCTCTATTGGAATCAAACAGCAAAAGTGAAAGTTGAAAACGAACTGACCAAGGATATCCAGATTCGCCGTGGGGTCTGCCAAGGGTGTATTTTCTCACCCTTGTTATTTAATTTATGCAGTGAAGCCATCTTAGAATTAGCGTTTGCCGAGAGCAGTGAGGGCCTTATAATAAACGGTGAGCCACTTAATAACATAAGATATGCTGACGACACCGTCCTTCTGGCAGGAACACTAGAAGAACTGCAACACCTTGCTGAACAACGAAATATATATTACAACGATTATGGACTAAAAATCAATTTGAAGAAAACCAAGTTCATGGTATTTACAAAAGCACAAAACATCAAAGTTAAGCTAGTACTAGATAATACAGAAATTGAACAAATATCTTCGTACAAATACCTTGGAGCATGGATCATAGAAGATACTGATCAGACAAAAGAAATAAGATTCCGCATTGAAATTGGGCGGTCAACTTTTAATAGAATGAGAAAACTTTTTTGTAATCGCGATATCAATATATCGCTCCGGATAAGAATGCTTCGATGTTATATTTTCTATACCCTTTTGTATGGAGTTGAAGCTTGGACACTTAAAAAATCCAACATTAAAAACCTAAAAGCATTCGAAATGTGGTGTTACCGACGTATTTTAAAAATATCATGGATGGATCGCAAAACAAACGAACAAGTTCTCGAACAACTAGGAAAACAATGCGAAGTTTTAAATTCAATAAAAATCAGGAAACTGGAATACTTGGGGCACATAATAAGAGGTGAAAAGTACGAACTACTAAGGAATATAATGCAGGGTAAAATCAAAGGTAGAAGAAGCGTAGGAAGACGTAAAATCTCGTGGCTACGCAATCTCCGTGAATGGTTTGGATGCAGTTCAATTGAACTATTCAGGCGAGTAACCAATAAAATTATAATTGCCAGAATGATTTCCAATCTCCGACAGGAGTGGAACTTGAAGAACAAGAAGAATATAGCAAAAACAAAACACTTATACATTAAGTAGGAGACAATACAGGGGAATACTCTGGCATATATTTAACACAAATGAAAAGATAGACCGTTACAAAAATACTACAGAAAAATACGGAACTCTAGGCCTAATAAAATTGTAAAATATTAACATGTACATTGGTGGTTTTGCTTCTTAAACACTTAAAAAATTAGTTTTTTTTTAATTTTCAATTCTAGTGATTTTGTATGTGCTGTCACGCAACTTTTTAATATTCGTAACATCGATGACTGTTGCTTCTTTGTGCTGTTCGATGTAAGTAACTGCCGATTGCAAAGCTGCTTTGCCTTCAGCATGTCCCATTTTATCTTTTTTTATTTTCCTCTTTAATCTCAGCAGCATCTGCGTTAGTATCCTTCTGATTTTCCTGGCGAATGACACACTCGGTGATTTCCTTGTCGTTCAAAACTTCGTTTTATAGCTTCTTTGCAATGTGATCTACTCCAAAACATCATCTTCGACAATGGAACCATCGATCGGTAGTTGCTGAAGGTCTTGAAATAAAGTTGCATTGTCATCAGGTTCGTTAAGAAGAATGTTGTTTGGCTCGTCTGCATTTCAAGTTGGCAAATCTTTTTTTCCATATTTGGCCAAAGTTTTTTCCAAGACTTTACAGTCAACGGTGGTATTTGTATGTACACAATATCCTTTATATTCCTGACTTCAGCACTTTTATGACCCCTAAGTTGTCATCATCCTTCACTTTGGAAAGAAATTTAGAAAGCAGTTTTGGCAATTTTCTCTTGAAGCAATCAATGACCCCTTGATCCATCAGCCGTTTAAGACTGGTTACATTGGGTGTCAGGAACAGCAGTTTAATTTATTCTTTATCGTCGCACTAAAGACCTTTCTGGTAAGTATGCGCGTTGTCAAGAAGAGTCTCAAGTGCTTTGATGGACTTTTTTAATTTTGTCAAATGTTTTTTCACTTTCGGAACAAAATCCCATACAAACCATTCCTTGAACAAATATGTGTCCATCCACGCTGAGACCGATTTCTGAGACCGATAATACACTGGGAGAGTTTCCATGTTTATGTTCTTAAACACCCTCTCTTTGCTGACTTTAAACTCTGCAGCAGATTTTTCTTGTGGGAGAGCAAAAGTTTTTCTGAGCAGAAGTTTAAAATTTAACCTAGTTTCGTCGATACTGTATATTTGCTTTGGGTTCAAGTTTTGTACCCAAAACTTGAACCCAAACTTTGTCTACTGGCAGCTTCTTACCACAAACTTCAATAAAATAGACTCCGTGTCTCGAATTTTTAATTTCTGGCAACGAACGAGATTTGCATCTCACCTACTCGACTCCTATTTTTTGCATTTAGTTCGAAATTTCTACAGTATAATGAAGTATATTATACTGTATAATTATACTACCTGCAAACAGATATCTTAAGTATAACATGGCAGTAAATTAAGTCGATTTATTATAATCCAAGTGAAAAAACAATTATTTCAACACTCAAAACAAATTTTAGGGAAAATTTCCGGCGATCTGATATGTACAAAAAATTTACATGATCCCTTACACTGTTTTTGTCCTACGCTCTAATAAAAAAAATATACCAGAAAATGTTTACTTGGGGTTTAGACAATGAGTCAGTGAGATCATTTTAATCAAAGGTAAAAAAATCTCTAAGTGAAAATGTTTCATACAAAGACACAGGAAGGTGAAATCATATAAATACCGAAAGCACAAGGGTCAATTGCTTTTTTATCCAGAGTTCATCAAGATATTTATTAATGACAAAAAATGATAGAACGTTTAGGTAGTGATCTAACAATCACATAAAAAGAAAAGTTATCACGAACAATTATAATCAAAGGCACACTTTCATAATTATTTTTTTTTCCAGACGATATTCCTACAACCTTAAGTTATAGTCGTGGAACACGTTGCCTGCCGTAGAGAATTTTGTAATACTTTCCGTTCACGCCATAGTGACCGAACCAGCACCACAGTTACAATAAAATTCTCGCCTAATAGATCTCGCTGGCGTGCAGAACAATTGTTTTCTCGGTCACATAGACCGAGACGGCAGGCAATGTGTAATTTAAATTTAATTGCGTTTTCTTCTTTTCCATATGAAAAGAGAAGTAAATATCTACTGAATGTTGTGTTTGTGGATAGAGAACAAAAAATTTAAGAAAGATCTGGAGAGTGCTTAACGGGACTGTATGTTTTTTAAAGAAATTAAAACAAATTCCACAAAAAACAATTTTGACAACTGTTTTATATTACATACCTACTAAAAGTTAGTTATTGAAAAATAATTTTGATTAAAACTTATCAACAATAGTACTTTTACAGATAATGTGTATGTTGACATTTTTTTATCAGTTAATTGACTGATTAATTGATTATCTATTTTTTAAGATTGTACAGTATACTTCAGCCAACAAAATATATAAACTGTACTTTTTTTGTTAAAATATTAGATATAGTATATTACATAACTCAAAATGTCGTCTAATTTTTGTCGAACTACAGTTATTTTGCTGGTAGTTAGTATTTTAAGTCAAACAAAATGCGACGAAGATGGTACCATAGTTGAACTGAAGCAGGGAAAAATCAGAGGGCATATACTAAAAAGCGAAAGTGGACAGGATTATTATGCATTTCAAGAAATTCCATTTGCTGCTCCTCCAGTAGGAAAAAATAGATTCCAGGTGAGTCATATTTTATTCTGTTTCTCTTTTTTGTATAAATAGCTAGTGTCTCTTCTTTTATCATCATAAGATTCATTTTTTTTTCATCCTTTATTTATTGAAATCTGTTTCTACAAATAAAAAAAAACAATATTCATAAGATTTATCTTAATCATGCTTTGCTCGAAAAATAAGACTTCTTATTGTATATGCTAAAGATCTTTAACCTTTATTGGACGGGCCTCAAAATTTTACACAAAAGACAAGCCGGGGTCTGAACGGACCCCATTTTTAAATAGGTGAACTATGGTTATGCGATATATTAAAGGAAATGACCACACCATTAGCTTGATGTTCTAAAATTTATACGAGTACTACGGTACTACTAAATGTACTAAAATTTATTCATAACCAAATATATCATAAACTGGACATAGATATTAATGAAATACAATTTGGGTTTCACAAAGTCCTATACACTAGGCGTTAACTCTTTTTTACTAAATATATGGATTCAAAGGTATCTTAATCTCAATGAATAAAATATGTTCCCCTGAGTTAGTCGGTTTGTTATAAAGAAAATACTAATTATTGCTTAAAAGTCTCAGCCACCTTCAATCTCAATAAGCACTTTAAATTACAGGAAGATTACTTATTACAATGTATATTATTTATGCCTGTATTTTTTATTTGTTTGCGATGGAATGCAAACTTGATATGTTACAATAACTTCATATTGTAGGCAATTGAAGCTACGACTAATTTAGGATCTTCTTCTTCTTCTTCTTCGGATGCAAATCCAACAATGGATGTTAGCGATCACATTTTCCATTAATTCTTTATTTCTTGCAATATGTATCAGAGATTGTATGTCGTTAATCCCTGTCCATTGCCTTATGTTTCGGAGCCAGGACATTTTCTTCTTAATTTTACCCTCGATTATAAGTTGAAGGAACTGGTATTTTTCATTTCGCATGATGTGACCTAGATACGCCGTTTTCCTTTTCTTGACGGTTTCGAAGAGTTGGCATTCTTGGTTTATTCTTTTAAGGACATCTATGTTTGTGATTTTCGTTGCCCATGGTATTTTTAGGATACGGCGATAAAGCCACATTTCGAAAGCTAATCTGTTTATATCCCTCGTTTTGAGTGTCCAGCCCTCTACGCCATATAGCAGCACTGACCACTTAGTAAACCTTAGTCTCAGTTGAAGATCGAACTCTGAACAAGTCAGTACCTTCTTGAATTTTACGAAATCTTGTCGAGCTTGCTTAATGCGACATTTTACTTTCCTGTCCGATGCCCAGTCTTCAAAAAGCCACGATCCCAGGTATTTAAATTTACTCACTCTTTCAATGGATTTAGTATTCAGTGTTATGGTGGAGTTACTGTATTCTCCGATTAAATATAGGGTCGTATTTAAAATATCTGCAAATACAATAAACAACTCGATTTATTAAGTTGTGATATATATTGAAGATACATTTTATATCGGTCTCATTATTGAAGCATTTTTGATCTTTTATATGTAAATTAGGGGGCGCCACCAATAACACCTTTTGACCCAAATGTAACCTCAATCTTTTGTTGGCATAAATCGAGAGTTTTATTGTGATACAACAATTCGTATAGATACAGTGAATCTTAGCCGAGCACATTTTTGAGCAATATTCCATTACAATTTTCAAAGAAGACTCTCCCAGCAGCAATGTCTCGCTGAAATGGTTGCTGTGTTGGGGAATTGAGAATCACAGTCTGAGTTTATGAGAATGTTTAGCTAAAGCTTTAGTATTTGATTTGTTGGTTTGTACACTAACTTTGTGTGTAAAATCTCTTGTATGTAGATATTGGTGTGTTTGCCCAATATGTGTTGAATTGCAGTTTTTACAATTTACTTTATAAACAACAACATGCCAGATGATCTTTCGTAATATTAGGTTTAAATTTTTTAAAATATTTTAAAATGTCGAAAATGTAACATCAATGTTGAACATCAAAAACATCCGGAAAATAAATCAATTCTCTTCATGTAACCATTTAAATTTTGCTGGAATGAATGAAAATATGGATATTAATTTAAATTTTAAATTTTTTAGCTTCCTAAAGAACCAGAACCATGGGATGGTATTCTAGATACAACAAAAAACACTAAAATTTGTTATCAATATATAAGCAGATTCGACTTTCTGAAAATAGATGAGGACTGTTTGTATATTAATGTTTACAGTCCACAGGTAAACTTTTTTTTGCTATTAATTTAATATTTCTTTACGGGATATACATATTATAAAATTGAAATAATGAGTTAAGTTAAAAAAAAAACCATTCCTTAACTGTGTGAATGAGGTTAGCTTTATATGTAAATTAACTTATCATATAATTTTAAATTCCAATATAAAACTAGTTGTGAAAACAACTGTTTGTGTAATACAAATAACTATTAAATGCAAAAATAAAACAAAAAACAGCAAAAACTCCAACCAACTAACAGCCACAAGTGAAAATAACCAGAAACGTCACAAATTCTACTCAAAATCTAAAAATATCCTCAAGTTTGTCTATCGCACTATAGCAGGCTCAAACAACCGAGCCAAACAAATACTTAAAACTCCTTCCCATAGCCGAGGGCAAATACTCACCAGAGTTCCTCCAGCATTTTCCTCCAGCAAAACTTCTTCATAACATTGAAAACGAACTTGCTGATGAGTGTTTTGATATATTAAAATCAATCTCCATAATATCGCAGCTAAACAACTGCAAGCTAAAAACGCTAATTAAGAGCCGTTTCTAGTATGACTGAAACACCATAAAATACCTCTTCTTGGCCTGTTTAGCTTACCAATAATTCCACTTGTACGCTTCTCATCACAATACGCCTTCTTCTGGACCCAACTTTCTAGTACTTTACCACTATAATTACCACGCGCATATCACCCTTATTTTTGCCACACCCTCTGATCAAAAAAAAATGGAGCACCCTTCCCTCGAAGAAGAAAAAACCTAAACAAAGTCAAAACATGATTTGATTAATTGAATGAACCTTTCCAGCAATTTTCCACGATAATTTCCATAAAACCTGCACTTCTAGATGCATTGCTCCTTTAATAACTTTTCGTTCCTAACTAACGTGGTCGTTTAATCCGTTTAAAGATATTCTTTATTCGGAACGTTAAAATACTGCTACTTCTAAATAACCATTAAAGTCTGAAGAGAATGTGTATAATATACAATCAACTGTTACATATGCTTGTCAATGATTTAGGTCTTTTTCTTCTTCAATTGCCCTGTCCGTTGCGAACGTTGGCTATTAACATGGCAATTCTGATTTTATTTGCGGCGCTTCTGAATAGTTCGACCGATGTGAGCCCGAACCACTTCCGCAGATTTTGGAGCCAGTGCCAGGCCTCCACACCATACAGTAAGATCGGAAAAACGTAGCATTTAATTAGACGTAGTTTTAGGGGAAGAGACAAATCCTTGCTTATGAGGAGCTTTTTCGTATTGCTAAATGCTGCTCTAGCTCGTTCTATTCTCGCCTTAATTTCTGTGGCCTGTTCCCATTTTGCATTTACGTTAGTGCCAAGGTACACATAAGATTCTACATGGTCAATTAGTATGTTATTTATCCGTAATTGTCGAGCACTTTGTTGCTTTTTGCTTATCAGCATCCACTTTGTCTTCTTAAAGTTGAGGGTTAGGCCGTATTCCTCACTAACTGAATAAACTTTTTCCATTACCTGTTGTAATTCGTCTATGGTACTGGCAAGGATCACCGTGTCGTCGGCATATCTTATATTGTTCGTTAACTCGCCGTTTATTTTTATGCCCCCGTTTGCATTTTCCATACATTTGTTGAATATTTTCTCGGAATACATATTATATAGGAGTGGGGATAATATACACTCCTGACAGACACCTCTTTTGATCTGCACACTATCAGTGAGTTCGTTGCCAATTTTTGAGCTTGCTGTTTGAACCCAGTATAGGTTTCCCACAATTCGAATGTCCTTGTCGTCAATACCTGTCTTTCGCAGAATATCTATCAATTGTTCATGATTGACATTGTCAAATGCTTTTCTAAAATCTACAAAGCACAAATACACGTTCATATCAACGTCTCTACACCGCTGTATAAGCACCTGGAGAGCGAAAATTGCTTCTGTAGTTCCAAGTGCTTTTCGAAAACCAAACTGCGATCTATCAATATTTAACTCACATTTATCAAATATTCTTCTATAAATGATCTTAGTGAACGCTTTAGTGATATGATTCTGAGAATGCTAACACCTCAACACATTCTGCAGGCTTAGGCCTTTACTCAGCGTAGATGTATCTTAAATTGCAGAAAGATTGAATGCAACTATTCAGGCATCTGTGTTAATTCTAAAAAGTCACAAGATAATCTTTAGATTATTGTGGGGATGCCAAGAAGAACTAGTGAACAATCGCTTAGTATATATGAATTTAAGACACAAAATCCTACGAAACAAAACCAGAGTCACAGATGTTGTGTGCACGTAAGTAAACCAAATGGAGAACAAGAACAGATAAACGAAATAAAGGAAGAATATAAATACGATGGCAAGATGATTTGCGAAAGATGATAAAATTTTGACACACAAGACCACGCAGTCTGGATAGAAATCGGAGGCCTATGTTCTGCAGTGGACCTAAAACGAGATGATGATGAATGATGACGATGATATAAATCACTGGAAATATTTTATTAAACTTTGAGTTCAACTATTTTCTTAACAAAGAAACCTTATACCAAAGAAAAACTTATTTTTACATTGTTGCACAGTCAACTTTTCCAACTAGCTCTAATATATCGACTAAAAAATACTAAAAATTATTACAGTTTTGTAAACACGAAATATACTAAAATTTTATTCTAATGTTTTTATCATTTTTTAAATTTTAGAAACCTGGTAGCGACGACTTACTTCCAGTTCTTTTATGGGTTCACGGAGGTGGTTTAGTAAATGAATCAAGTACCATTGAATACTATGGGCCCAAATATATTATGGATCACGGTGTGGTAGTTGTGACTTTTAACTATCGTCTGGGGCCATTTGGTAGGCATATAATTATCAAAAAATATTAGCTAAAAAAAAATTATAGACAGGCCTGAAAAACATAATTTATTTCAAGAAAAATATTCAATTTTACTTCTCAAAATGCGTTTAAAATATCTATTATTTGTAGTTGAATAAATAACAATACAATAACTGACGAGAAATGAAAGAGGTCAATAAATATATGAAATCATTTTTGTAATCAAGTTATCCCAGGGTTAGACGATGTTTTTGGCAAATTTCATAATAATGCCATGTTGAAATTTTCTCCATCTAAAGAGTGCATTTTCTCGGGCCTACCTTTATAAAACTTTTTACTTCAATTACTTTATAGCGCAATCTAAAAAAATATTTACTTTTCGAAGGGTTTCTTGGAACCGACGATGGAGTTATTCCACAGAACCTTGGTTTAAAAGATCAACGACTTGCTATAGAATGGGTTAATCAAAACATTCAACTTTTTGGAGGCAATCCAGAACATGTGGTCCTAGTTGGTGAAAGTGCAGGATCTTTATCTGTTGGCTTGCACTTAATGGGAGACTGGGAGAAAGGCAAAGGTGAGTTTATTACACGAAATAGTACACAAACAAAAAATTTAGGATCCTATTTAAGTAAAACCTCAACGGAAATATAAGTACGCCGAAGGTTTCATTGATCAAAAGACATAACTTACTTTAAAAGTTTAACCTGTTTCAGAACTCTTTCATGGTGTCATCATGCAGAGCGGTACTCCTATTTCTGGTATATGCACAACACAGCATCCAACTGAACAAACTTTCAGGCTTGGTAAAATTGTGGATCCATCATTTGATTCAACAAGTTCTGAGGAACTGTTAGAAGTGTTACAAAATGCTTCAGCACAAGACATTCTCTGGGTAAGCTTTTTTATAGTAAATAGAATTATCAGACGACAGGTTTCGCTTTCTACAATATGCAAAGCATCTTCAGGTCTCGATACAAAGTTAAATAAATGCTGAAATGATAAAAACCCATATTAGGGTGTTGTCTAATAAAGATAAACAAATTAGATGTTGTAAATTACAATAATTATGCCAATATTACATGTCTGTGGTTTTTTCAAAATGAGTAAGTTGAATAAAAAGGTATAAAAAGTTTTAAAAGTTTAAACATACAAGGTAAGGCCCACAAATTGTTATAAAATAGTCTATTAGATTGTAATAAATTAATAAATGAGCCAATAAATAAACATTACTTACATGCCGGTACTCTATTAATTGATGGATGGTAGAACATGGTTGAAACTTGGTCATAAAACAATTACTCAATAAATAACACACATTTCATAAATATATCTCTCGAATAAGTATAAATAACTTTTAAATAATACAATGGTATATAACATCACTTTCATTTAACAAACAATCACACACATATATCTGCTTCATTGGATCAAATCTATCTCCTCAAGAACTTCCCGTTTACTGTCAAACAACTACAATAGCAGAATTGAATTCTCCATTCAACAATACATAGTAGTTTCAACCATATTCTACCATCCATCAATTAATAGAGTACCGGCATGTAAGTAATGTTTATTTATTTGCTCATTTATTAATTTATTACAATCTAATAGACTATTTTATAACAATTTGTGGATCTTACCTTGTCTGTTTAAACTTTTAAAACTTTTTATACCTTTTTATTCAACTTACTCATTTTGAAATAAAACCACAGACATGTAATATTGGCATAATTATTGTAATTTACAACATCTAATTTGTTTATCTTTATTAGACAACACCCTAATATGGGTTTTTATCATTTCAGCATTTATTTAACTTTGTATCGAGACCTGAAGATGCTTTGCATATTGTAGAAAGCGAAACCGGTCGTCTGATAGTTAAATTAAATTGATTGTGAGTAAGTCTTATTTATTATTTCTTTACCTATTTGAAATGGACTCACACAAGCAACACATTCATGACTTTTTTATAGTGTTTTGGTTGTAATTAGAATTATTAAAATATTATTTTTTAAGTATTTTGAATCTTTATTATTTAAATGGAGAAAAACTTGTTTAGAAATATGTATATAGATCTGTTTTTTAACATTGACATCTTTGATGTATTAAATTATCGAAAGTTACCTGTCTTAATTCATTTATGAATATTTGCTTTCTTCAATTCTCATTCAATTTTTACTTTCTTCAATAAATTTACTTATCTAGTTTTTGCCTTTTAAATCGATTTTTATAAACTATATTTGCAGATAGCATATATTTTATCATAATTCTTAAGATCGTCTAACTTTTTTAAGGAGTTCATTTTCCTTATTTGTATTCCTCCGCTCTTCATCTCTCTTCTTTAGGTTCCATCTAAAGAATGACCATTTTACTGCTCACTAATCTGTTGGTTGAACGTTTTTTATCACTGTCAGTATATTCATGTCCTATTCCCTGTGAACATTTTTGTCTATACGTACCTATTTTTGACACAATGTTTTGTTCCATGAAAAGACTTCTTCTTCTTCTTCTGGTTCCTATCCGTTTCGGATGTTGGAAATCATATTAGCAATCATAACCTTGCTCGCTGCGGCTCGAAACAGCTCCGTTGAGGTTTTCTTAAACCATGTTCTTAAATTCGGCAGCCATGATATTCTCCTTCTACCGGGTCCTCGCTTACCTTTGACATTACCTTGCAATATAGACTGCAGCAGGGAGTAACGGTGCTGATTTCTCATAACGTGTCCCAGATATTGCAATTTTATGCGTTTGATCGTAAACACAATCTTTGGTTCCTTCTTCACTTTTCCTAGAACTTCCTTGTTCGTGATCCTTGCTGTCCATGATATTCTCAGCATTCTTCTATAAAGCCACATCTCAAATGCTTCAAGTTTTTTAATGGTGGTGTCTCTAAGCGTCCATGCCTCCGCCCCGTACAACAACACAGAGAAAACATAGCATCTCAAATGTCTCATTTTTGTATCAAGGGATATGTTGTGACATTTGAAGATGGCGCTCATCTTGTTAAAGACCGTTCTTGCCTTTCCTATGCGGCACTTTATTTCCTGTAAATTGCTCCACTGTTCGCTAATAATAGTTCGCAGGTAACAATACTGTTTTACTCGCTCTATCTGCATCCCATTAATGTATAGATGAGCCCCATTTATATTCTCCTTGCTGATAATCAGTTGTTTCGTTTTGTGGGTATTAATGTTTAGTCCGTACTGTTTACTGTACTCGTTTATTCTGTCCATTAGCCACTGAAGTCCCTCTAAACTATCTGCTATCACCATGGTGTCGTCGGCATATCTAACATTGTTTACTCTTTCACCATTTAGAAGGATGCCTTCGTCTATTCCGTAAAGAGTCTCGTTAAAATTTTTCTCTGAGTACATATTAATTATCAACGGCGATAGGATACATCCCTGTCTAACTCCACGTAGTATTTTTATGTGATCTGTTTCTTCTTCGTTAATTTTCATGTATGCGGTCTGATTCCAGTAGAGTTCTGAAATTATTCTGAGGTCTTTGTCATCCAGGTCTGCCTCTTTTAAAATGTTTATCATCTTTTGATGTTGAACTCTAATTGATGAAAAGACTAAGCAACTTAAATGTCTGTCTTCGGTACATATATAACAGAGGTAATCCATTTAATACTTTTTAATTATAGTTATAAGTTTTTTTCATTAGTTTTGCGTTTTAGGCCAATATACCAGGTGGAGCAGCGCTGGAAAAGAGTGGACCTTTTAGTTATCCTGCGTACCAAGCATTTATTGACAAAAATTATAAAAAAGTGCCAGTAATAATTGGATTTAATTCAGAAGAGTGGCTTTATCTTGGTAAGTTTAAATGTGTAAAAGATTAAATCTTTTAGCAAAAGCTGCAACCGCTTTGTTGAATTATGGGACGACAAATTTTTTAAATTTTCCGTGCTCGAATGCATATCAATAGAGTGTTATGACTAATTTTAGCATCCCTGATACTCGAAAAGTCCAACTAATGTTTAATAAAGTCTCTTTACTTTTAGTCAAAATCTATAAAATCAACAAGAATTGAGAATTATCTTCTAAACTATCTTACCACCAATAGTCTGAGTATAAATAATAATCATTTATTACCAACAAATTCTTTTTAGCTTTAGGGAACAACGAAGAAACGCTTAAAGCAGTTGACGCAGATCCAAGGTTGTTAGTTTCCGCACTATTAACAATGACTCCTGAAAATCGAACCATTACAGGAAACCTTTTGAAAGATCTATACACCAATAATGGACAGTTCGTCGATAATTTAGGTGGTTATATAAGGGTAAGCATTTTTTTTCTACTCCCTGATTCTGATACGATAACCATTCGTTCAGTAGTAGGTATTTACAATATTTAAAAACTGTTGACTAATATAAGATGTAATGTGGAAGGGTTGACAAATTGTAGATTTTTATCTAAACATTATTTAAAAACACCGGTCTTAAACACACGGAACACATTGGTCTTTAAAAAATAAGATTATGGTAAAATGCGGTCATACGGGATGACATTTGTAAAAATATAAAGAAATTAAAAAAACCGTCGACAAACATTTTAAAAACCAATTAACAACTTTATATAAAATATTTTTGTGTATCTTTGGTAGGTCTGCGAATAGATCTTAGACTATTTTTCATATGTCTAGGACAGGTGATAAGGATGGTCTCCTTCTAAAACTTTTTATTTTTTGAACAATTTTTTTTTATTTTTTTTATGGTTTGTCATCAAAATCCTAGATGTACACCTTTTTACCACAAACCTCTACTTTCTTCTAGTGGTAGTAAAATTTTTACTTAAATCCACACTCACCTCTGTTTGAAAAATCCTATTTGAAAGTACAAACTGATCACTTAAGGTCACTGGATTATGGCCTTTAAATAACAATATGTTCAGTGACATGGACTTTATTGCTGCGCAATATAATGCTGTAAGAGGCGATTCTAAAACCAACATTACTATACTGAAATTAAGATCTGAACTTAATACCAGAAGCAAGTGCTAATGTACAACCTGAATTTGTGCCTTCAACTTCCAGGTTTAATTGGAGCACACTAGTTTTGGTGTCTCCGTATGCAGTAAATCCAGGGCCAGAGAAACGAAGAAAAGTATCTAAAATGTGTTCAGTGATGTGGACTTTATTGCTGTGCAACAGAATGCTATAAGAAACGATTGTACCAGCAACATCACTACACTGGAATCAAGATCTGAACCTGGTCAAGCCCTGATAGAAATCCCTATACCAGAAACAAGTGCTAATGTACAACTTAAACATGTACCTTCGACTCTACGGATTAATCGCAGCTCGCCTTCTTACAATACAAATCAAAACAAGCACAACAGGCATACAATCACTATAAACGAATTTAAAATAAAAAAATACTTTAGTGAGACAACTAAAAAAGGGAACAAAGGAAGAAATATGAAGATAGATTAGAGGCCAAAAAAAAAGATGAACTAAAAGTTGAACGAATAAAAACGAAACACATTTAGAAGAAAACATGTGCAGAAAACTTGATAAGTTTGGATCCCTGTTTATGTTAAGGTGATCTTTGATCCCTGGTGATCCACCAACACCAGAGGCGACTTCAAACGAAGAAGTAAATATAAAGGAGGAAGAGGTAAAGGAAACAATACGGAAATTAAAAAAAATAGAAAATCACTAGGAGAGGACAGAATACCAAACGTACTCCCAAAATACGGTGGACCAGATCTGACCAAAGCATTACTAAAACTAATCTTAAAAGTAATATTACAAAACAGAATTCCTCAAGAATTGACATCAAGCGTCTTAGTACCTCTCTTCAAAAAGGGATACAAATCGGACCAGGAAAATTACAGAGTATTTAATTTAATAAACACAACACTAAAATTAACCACCAAAGTGATAATAAATAAACTGGATAAAATTATAACACTAGCAGAAGAACAACAAAGTTTTAGGTCATGCACCGACATTATACTTATTTATAATGAGGCAAGTGCAAGAGAAATCAGTAGAATACAACAAACGGCATATCTATGTTTCGTGGACCTTACAAAGGCATTTGACAGGGTCAAATTAAAAGACGTTATCCACTTACTGTATGCAAAAGAGATACATCTGGCAATAATCAAAACGATCAAAAATATCTACTAAAACAACACAATAAAAGTAAAAGTAGAAAAAAAACTAACCTACCCTACTGAAGCTGGCAATGAGATAAGACAGGGAGATTTCCTAGTCCTTTATTGTTCAACCTGATTATGGATGAAATTATAAAAAAAGTAATAACTAAAAAAGGATACCAAAAGGGAGAAAAACAACTTAAAGTAATCTGCTATGTAGACGATGCAATACTACTCCAATATGTAATATGCTGTACCAATTTAATATAACGGCCAGAAATAGCATGTAAATTTCCTCAAAAAGACAAAATGCATGGTTATTACAGCAGATACTCAAATGTAAATTAAAGCTGGAAGGTCAGATGATAGAGCAAGTGATGGAGTGTAAATATCTAGGCATCACATGATCTAACTACGAAAAGCTCAAAGCAGAAGTTGAAGATCAAGTGAGTAGAACAAACAGAGCCGCAGGTTGCCTGAATGAAACAATATGGAGAAATAAAAAAATATTGAAAAAGAAATGGGAGACAGAAACATGACTTGACACATTGGGGACAAAAAAAATATTAGAAACAGCAGAGATGAAAACACTTGATGGCAAAATACTATGAAACAGAGCTAAAAATACAGATATTCGACGTAGATGTAGGTAAAAAAGATTGGGTAAGAAATAGAAGAGTAGAATGAAATGATCACATAAGCAGAATGACAACAAATAGAGTAGTAAAGACGGTAAAAGACGGTTCCCCAATATAAAGACGATCAGTGGGAAGGCCACAAAAAGGATAAAACGACAACTTAATGAAGATACATTGAAAGACAGACAAAGTTATGTCTACATAAAAAGAAGAAGAATATTTTTAGAGGCCGTCATCATTTACAGCGCGTATTTCTCTTTCAGTTATAGACTCCATTTCTAAATACCTACAATAAGTTTGTTATTTTTTATTTAGCTACCAAAATGTTTACGAGGAATAATATACAGTGTGGAAACCACTTCTTCTTCTTCTTCGGGTGCCGTCTTCAATGAAGGTTAGCGATAACCTCAGCAAAATCATTTCTGTCCCTGGCTTTTCTTATTAAAGATTGAGAATCCAAACCAGTCCACTCACGAATGTTCTTCAACCAGGACGCCTGCCGTCTACCAGGACCACGTTTTCCTTCTACCTTCCCCTCTATAAGAAGCTGCAGTAGCTGGTATTTCTCATTTCTGTATATGTGTCCCAAATATGAGGTTTTCCGTGTTTTCATTATTTTTAAGAGTTTTCTGTCGGTACCCATCTTGTGTAGGACCTGCTCGTTGCTCATATGCGCTGTCCAGGGGACTTTCAGCATCCTTCGAAATAACCACATTTCAAAACTTTCCAAACGCCTGAGTGAGTTGATTTTGAAGGTCCAGGAAACCACTTATGGAATAAAATTGTTTGTGTCCTTATTTTAGAAAATAATAAAAAACGTTGAGATACCTTAACTTTTAAATTTAAATGTATGCTTTTTAGACATAAATTTGAATGTACAGGGTGGTCAATTCAAGTCTGGCATAGTGCATAATCTGTATTTTAAATGAAACACCTGTATATTTTTATGTTTTTAAAAGCTCCTTAAAAACCTCATTTCACGAACTAGAACAGTCTCCTATAAAACTCGTTCCGAACTTTGTTTAAAGTTTGAGGTGAAATATTGCGTATTTCTGTAGTTATCCTTACTTTTTGAGGTCTTCAATGATAGTTGAAGCTTGAAGCGACTTAGCTGGCCGCTCACTAGTCCCCTTTATCAAATCCACTTATTGAAGAAGATTTCGTTCAAGTAATTTCTCACCATTAAAGCATAATGGGGTGTTGCACCGTCCTGCTGGAACCATACAGTTTTATGCGGTAGGGTCGAATCTATTGGATTGTGATATAAGTTAGAAAACTAAGGAAGAACACCGTCTCTTAGCATGCTTAAATATTTTTCCACTGTCAAATTATCATCTATAAATATAGGACCAATAATATGATCTCCTATAATACCTGCCCAAACATTCAACTTTTGAGAATACTGAGTGTGTGTCTCACGTATCCAATGAGGATTTTCCGCTGACCAATATCTACAGTTTTGTCAGTTTACCTCTTCGTTCAATGTAAATTTTGATACATCAGAGAAAAGAATTGTGCCAAGAGCTATTTCATTTGTTAATTTTATCCCTCATTCTTTTGCAGAAATCCATTCTACGATCCGGATCGTCTTCTGTTAGCTCCTGCACAAATGTCAATTTACATTATATGGATGAAGTTTTCTTCATGGAGATACCTTAGGACAGTTGTGTGACTCATATTATTTTGACGTGCAATTTGAAGTGAACTTGACGTTGGATTCTCTGCGACACTTAACAAAATATCTACTTTCACTTCATCTTCAATGAAGTTCGATTTTCTTTTTAATGGTTTGACATATCCAAGTTCTCTGAATTGTGCATAAATTTTAGACACAGTACCTTGTGAAATATTAGGCAACTGAGGATACCTCTGATTAAATAAGTTTGCTACTTCAACTTGATTTCTACAATTCTCCCTGTAACCGATCATCATTAAAATCTCAATTCGGTGGGCCTTAGTTAAATATCTCATTTTTATTTCTGCAAGAAATTAGTTTTTAATTAAGAATTTATTATTTTAATGTAAAATGTCAACAGCATGTCAACTGATTGATAACAATCCGCATTATTTACCGATTTAGCTTAATTAGCAGACTATCTATACAGTTTTTACCTATTTACGACAAAAAATGTTAACACGGTTACTAAACAGAAATGTTTCCCAATATACAGTGTACTGACACTTAGAGTTGAAGTTTATTGTCTGTATTTAACTAATTTAAAATAATACCATAACACGTGATAAGTTATTAATTTCAAAATTTCACCTTGTATTATTCATTATAGACCCTACATGATATAGTTCGTTGAAATCAGGTTATTAAGAATCTTTTATAGTGTATTTTTATGTATAAGAGAGTAATAAAACAATAAATTATGTATGCAAATCCCTAAAATGTTGATACGGGTGATTCAATGAAAAACAGATATTTGTCAACAAGTTTACAGAAGTATATAGGAAAACAATTTTAAATTGAGTATGACCACCAGGTATAAAGGTTGGAGCAGAATAGAATACAATAGTTGTGAGGGTTACTAAT